ATGGTCCATGGCGCGGGTGACGGGAAGATTGCCCAAGGCGCCCGCGATGGTGCCAATGTAGGGCTCGTGCAGTGATTTCTCCGCGATGAGGAAGGAGATACGGCGGCCAACATGCTTCTTCATCAGCTGCATCAAGACCAGCGAGTCGACGAATTGATTGGCGTGTGGCGCAGCCACCAGGATGACGGGTCCCTTGTTGGGGACCCGGAAGGAATTGCGAGTCGAGACCTCCCGGAAGAAGACATCCAGCGTCACACTGAGAACGTGAAGGCCCAGGTCATACACCCAGGGGATCATTGGCTTGGCTCGTGCAGAGCTTGCCACTAACTGCTGTTGGAGTCGATTCTCGTCATTCGGGATTGAATCGCGTAAGTCAGCCTGATGGGATTCTGCGTGCGGCGGCTGACGGGGATCGTTCTGGGTGGCCATGGCAGTGAGGATTGATCTGCTTATTTTGTCAAAAGGTGGTAGTCTCGTCCAGGAAGAAGATTCTGACTGCGAGCGGGCGTAGCAAACATTGCTGAATTATGAGTGTTTGAGCGAATTGCGAGTGAGAGAGTCCGACAGGATTGCCATGAGAATCTCAATGAGCCGCGATGGAGACACTAAGGCTGCTAACCACGCCCCAGCTGGATGCCTCCACTTCATCCTGCCAGTCTTGGAGCGGGTCCGGCGGGCTCGATCATTGGAGACGGCGTATTTCCACGGACGTCGGCAGTCGCTGGAGATGTAGCATCTTGGACTGCCTACTGACTGCCCAGGATCGATGTAGGTAAGAAGGACAGGAAACTCCGAATGATCGGTAATTGACTTGGTCATTTCGGCTTAATAATGGTCACTCAGGATGCAAACCAAGGCGTTTAGGAATGTGGTGTGAAGGTTGGAGTGTGCGAGTAAGAAATTGGTCAATCTTAGCGTGTGACAGCCTCCAACTGGTGGGCCCTAATTGGGTGGCCGTGCATCCTGTCCGGCAGGGTCCTTTGAACCTTTTTGCAGCTGGGAAGGCGATAGCTTGTGGGTGTTATAGAAGTGGAGCGCCTAACCACCTTCGTCTTTCCCCCCACTTCACCGTGAAGATATGTTCAGAACTTAAGCTTCCGTTTTGGTACTGAGTATCAGACCGGGGGGGGATCTTAATATTGACTAATATAGCCCAAGAAAATACGAGGAAGGCTGCATGGTGGTTTCCAAAAGGACGATCCTTCTATTTTTGGCTAGGAGGAATTCTGGCAGTGAGTCTGATCCTCAACCCTATGTGGCAGGAGATGAGGGTGACTGCATAACTTGGTCAGCCTCCATTGTTCTCGAATTTTTTTTCGGGCAGAAAAACGGTTGCCAGGAAAGTCAAGAATAATACTACACCATCAAGGAGACAACTTAAGGTATAAATACCAGCGAACAGGTATTTTGAGTTGAGGAGGTGAAAAGTGACTTGGAAGGTATCAGTGGTGGTAGTTAGAGGGAACGGGCCGGGAGATTAATCGGGCGGGTGTGATTGGTGATCCGGTAGGTTTTTATCTCCGCCAGCCAGCCCGGGATCCTTCCGCGGTCTAGAAGCCCTGAACCACTGGCAACTTGGAAGCTGATATTACTTTCCCTCCATTTTTGCAGCTTTCTCTATCACTACGTACCTGGATGGGTGTGAACATGCCCCCATGAGGCTTGGAGGGGAGGGGTGAGATTGTATCAGCGGACTCAGGCTAAAGAGCGGGGTTTGCTTTGTCGCGACTCGCTTGGTTGGCACTGATGACCCCCTCAGTGGATTCTGCACTGGTTTGTGCATTCTGCCCGCAGCAACTCCAGTGCCCTACCCTTCCCACGTGTAGGTGGAGCGAAGCATGCAGCTGGAATATAAATTGAGTGGTTATCATGCAACTCCCACCCATGTACTCAGACAGATCTGCAGACACATACTTGCAAGACGCAATGGAACCGTTATCAAGCCCGTTCCAAACCTTCGGTCACCAAACAGATTTCCCCGACCTTATGGATACCCTGCATTATGATGATATGGTTCCCGAGTTTGCGTGGGATGAGAGCTCATCCGTGGAAGGGCTGGAAAGTATCTCAGGTGAGGAGAGCTTGGTGTTCAACCTCGACCAAGCCACAGACTTGCCAGTCATGACTCTAAAGTGAGTTAACCAAAACCACCCTATCCTCCAGTGAGCATTTTCTGACCACTCTTCCGTAACAGCTCGGAACAACTACGAGATCATCACCAACCGTACGGCGACATCGATCCCCTCCTAATGGCGGACTTCTACCAACAGGATACAAGCCAGCTGGCCGAGATGCTTAATACGACGACACCAAAACAAAAACCACAACAGTCTTCCAAGAATTTCCAGTGCTGGGATCATGGCTGCAATGGCCGACACTTCTCTTCCAAAAGCAACCTTATCCGACACCAGAAGGAGAAATCCAAGACCACCAGCAATTTCACATGTCCCTTGTGCGCAGCAGTCTTTACTCGAAGCTCCGCGCGGGATACGCACCTGGCTCGTCAAAGCTGCAACCGCATCCGCCGATACTCCAACGGTCGGCCACGACCCAGCCGACTTGCGGTTTTAAGCAACCCCGAGTTGGTACGGATTATAACTTAGCAAAGGTGGGCAGGGAAAGGGTGGAAGAAAAATGAAGGTTACGGATGGCTTGACCCGAGTCCGGGCCATGGGATGTTGGACCGGCACTATGAATATACCCCAAGACAATACAAGATAGAGACAGAGACCGATTCTTTTCTGAAATCATACAATTCAATTTTGAGTAGAGCACAGTACGATGGAGTAGGTGCAACATGTTCAATCATTCTGTATTCCACCCCCCACAATAGTATACCTACTCTCGAGATAAAATAATCCCTGGCAACAGCGTACAGATTCGCCCATCCGAACCTAGATTTGGTTCAGCGTTCGGGGATAGTCGGCCTCCCTTTCATCCTTTGCCGTCTGGACTTATATTTTGCCTCAAGGCAAATTCAGCCTCGTAAACAGAGTTCATGACGAAGGGCCATGTGGACTGGTACACTAGCCAGGGCCAGGCCGTGCAGCAGTCCCACCGCACTATTGTTGTAGCCATGTGGAGCTCTCCATCTGAAGGCTGTTGGCTCCCCAAGCAGTCTAGTTTCCACTGACTGTAGCTGAAAGAGAACCGATCGTGCCAAGCGTGTTGCTTTCTCTTTTGCTGAATGTCGAGTCATAGTGTATGCGTCGGTTTGACCCGCCTTCGGTGCTGTGCAGTGTCCACTTTGTCCATTACCGGCCGAGACAACCCACACCGTCCATTCGATCTGATTCACGTTGGACCTTTTGGTTCCACGAGGGATCTTGGGGGCCAAAGTCAATCACGATTCATGAATTGTGCTTCAGGAACATCATTGGGCGGTCGCCCCGCATACCCCATAACGCCGCGTGAAGCTTGGCCGACATCGCCACCCGGATCTTGGCCGATCGGGCTTTCTATGGGCAAAACTCGATGGACTCATTTTTTGGCACAATGCGCCCGTCGATTTGACTTACGCTGCGAGTCTACGGAGTAAGAATCAGAACTGAAGGGACGACTTATGGTATGGTCGGCGGTGAGGAGGTAGAGTGAGGTATAGTCACTGAACAGTCCTGGTCGCCCCCTCAAGAGAGGTTTGAGATTCCGCAAGAATGACTGATACCTTTCTCTAAGATATTGACTGTTCTACAGGTACAAAAGCGTCGTTCGGAAGGGAGCACTGAGTATCAGGCTTCTTGATTTCATGCAGGTCTCTATCTGTATGATCACCGCTCCGATATCCTACAGTGCTCGCGGTAGTCATATACACGTCAAGGGCGTACGGCTAATATACCTGTGACCATATGGCTTGAGAGGTCTAAACCCAGCATGAAGATCAAGCTTGTTCGCATCGCAAGGTTACTGCGCGGCATGACGATCACCAGTGGAGAATAACGCTTTGTGTGTCGATCGACAGCACATAGGGCTGAACGGCATGGTGCATTCATGCCATAAGTCTCATGCAGTGTACTGTGCCTCGAGTGGACCGACGGTAAGCATCAGACCCTGTCGATCAGCCGGAACTCAGGCAGAGATGAAATCAAGGTTGACTCGAAACATGACAGATATGGACCGAGCGTGAGCTCCAGCCTGTCAGTAGCTAGTGACAGAGCATCCCGAGCACGTACCAAGGAAAGCAAGTCAACCCGGCCAAGCTCTGTGTTTTGTGGCTGCCTGGACCCTGGCCCATCTCTGCCAGCGCTTGTAGTTCATTGCGGCGGACAATATGAAAGCCCAGAGGAAGCGTTGAAGATCATCGTGGGCTGTACTCGTGGCACTGAGTATGAAAATAATTGGACTTTTTCTGTCCCGTGAAATATCTATTCTCGCTATCGCTCTTCTGCGTGTTGGCGAGAGGTTGCAGGAGTTGGTATGCTCTGCAAGTTGCAATGCTTCAGTCGTGGCAGCCAAATCATGTGAGCAAATTCAAGCCCTGAAGGCTTCAATAGCACTGTCAAGATCCACTCCTGTGAAACTTCTTACACATCTTCGACTACTCATGCATTTCACATTATGCATTCCTGTCTGCGTTCTTGCTATTACTCAGCAAAGTATTCATAGCTATCCTTCTTCTTGTATCTCGATGCAGATATCGTATCGAGTATCGCCAGACTCCGAGTGGCCAGAGCACATAACCCCCAGATTACGGGCTTGAGACTTTTCTCCCTTGGTTAGCGCCCATGAACAAAGGATTGATTTTTCTCATAATCTTTGCATAAGACACATGAAAAAAACTGACCAGCGGCAAAATCCGTCCGGCATGTCAGACGATGAAGCCAAGCAAAACCAGCCCAGATTGATCCGGCCATCCCGCAATCCCGCAATCCATTGATCCATCCATCCCCAAATCCACGATTCCTCTCCTTCCTGCATCTTCACGAGTATGGTCGTCGTAGCTAACACTATATCCACCATATTCTGCAGCGTAGTCCCGTAGCTGGCTCAAACCGACCATCCAACTTCACCGTAACTCAAACCGCCCAAACGTACTATCCTCAATCACCATGCCAGGCGCTCTCGTCACCCGCAATACCACCGGCAAGGTAGGCATGTGGAACGGCACTCGTGACGGCGAAAACGCCTACATCGACCATGCCAACGGCTCCACCAACATCAAACCCCCCAAAGAAATCGATATCACCGTGACGGATCTCCGCTCGGTGTCGCCGCAACCCACCCACGCCAGCAAAGGCTACCAAGTTGTCCGCCACACCACCTCCATCACCCCCGAACAGTTCCTCGCCGCCGCCGACACCGAGGAAGGCAAAGCCACCATCGAAACCCAGTACTACCCGGAGGTCCAGAAACTCGTCACCGAGGTCACCGGCGCCGCAACAGTGATTCCGTTCGGGTTCCGCGTGCGCCAGCAGAACCTGAACGCAAAGAACGTCTTCGCCGCCAAGTCCAAGGGCAGCTCCCTGGCCGTGGCACACGTCGACCGCGACCTCGATAACGGGTTCCTGCGGCTGCAGAACGTCGTCGGCGCCGAGGAGGCCGAACGCCTCGTGCGCACCCACAAGCGCTGGGCCTCCGTCAACGTGTGGCGGTCGATCGACCAGGCCGTCAAGCAGTGGCCGCTGCTACTGATCAACCACGAGAAGATTGAGGACTGGCATTATGACACACACATGGAACGCTTGTACACCATCAATGACCCCTCCGAGGCGGAGACTGGCGGTAAGGACCACGACACGGTGCTGAAATTCGATCCGCGCTACGAGTACTACTTCGCCAGCGACCTGGATGTCGATGAAGCGTTGGTGTTTAGCTCGTTTGACACGGATGTGACCAAGGTCGTTCCCCATGGGGCGTTCTGGGATAATGATACCCCGGAAGATGCGCCGACGAGGCGGTCGATTGAGGCGAGGTCGTTTGTGTTTTGGGATCCAATTGAGGCGTGATTGTTCTTCTGCAATTAGCTATTCTTTATTCTCCGAATGAAATGTCATTATCTGACTCTGCTCCGGTCGGAAAGACTATGCTGTTCTGGAAGGGTCTGTTACACTCATCCCTCTTGGAGGCTTTCTAGTAGGTAGTCGAAAGGGCATTCCCACAGAGTAGTACGGAGTACATACACATCAATTGGGGCTGCTGCATCATCAATATAAGAACGCTTCTCTCACTACAGCACAACAGAGTATATATGTCAGGCAGGAATTTAGCACACCAAATGTGAATGTTAACAAGTCGTCATAAAAGGAAAAGAGCTATATACTACTCGAGATCATTCTCATAATTGGCATAAGCGTACCATCACTCCGCCCAAGGAACCTCCAGATACAATAACGGAACATGCTGCTGCGACCCGTGCGTGTCCGTCTCCCCAAACGTTCCGCACACGATCGGTCGCTTGATCGTCGCCTTGAAAGCACAAGCGGAGGGCCAGTACATGCACACCAGGACCTCTTCCGTCGGAATCTGGTACAGACGAGCGATGGTGTCGACATTGAGCACGTCTGCCGAGCGAACCTTCTCCAGCGCGTTAAGATCGCGAAAGAGGACGTCAAAGGTCAGCTCAAACGGGCCTGCGTTCTTACTCCGCACCACCGACGCAATGTCGCCGAGGTAACGATGGCCTGGGTATGGGGGCGGTTGGAGGAAAACATCTCTGGAGCCCAGCTCGCAGGGGGGCATCGGGCGATTCTTGAGTTTCCTTCCATTCTTCCGCTGCAGACTGTCTCTCGGGTGCACTGCCAATTGTCCCTGGTCCTCCGACAATACAGGCGTCCATTGTGCGGCGATCGGAAAATGGGAGGTCGGATCGTCCACCTGCATGAGATGGTAGACGCAGAATTCACAGGCCGGTCCCAGGGTCAAATTGCTCGGGTTGATGGGCATGGCGAGATTGCCGCCCGTGGCCGCTTGGTAGGGGTAGGGTCCGTGAACGAGGTAAGTTCGCGCCAGCTTGCAAGCTTCTGTGGTCTGCGACTGGGTCTGGGCGTGGAGATGGGCGATGATGGCCACCTCCTTGGGGATGGTGGATCGATCTCGTTCGAGAGCTCCCATGACTCCGTCCTTGCCGTAGACATGCATCCGGCAGTCGAAATCAAACTCCAGCTTCTCGTGCATCGCCTTGACCACCTCCGTGGTGAAGTAGTCGATTTGATGGATCAAAATCGGATCTCGCACGGCTCCAATAACAACGCCGTGATATCCACTGACTCGCGCCCCTTCAAGCTTGACCATGTATGGGTCAGACTTCTGGAATTGAGCTCCGGACACTCGCACCGTCCGGCCATCGGCCAGTTCTTCATAGGACGCATCGGCCAGGAGTAAGGCACCGCCGGGTCCGTGAAGAATATCAGGACGAGCATTCTCGTACAAGGCGTGCGCAGCGACCGAATTCTTCGTGCAGCGCGCACTGGGCTTGAGCGGGGTGATCTCAAAGCACGAGGGCTCCTTGCGAATGACCGCCAGGGCTTCGGGGGACTTGGGCGTGGCACATGACGCCCCACACTCCATAATCTTGCCCATGTGGTATATGACCCCAAGATCCGTGAAGCCGTGGTACAGACAAACCGCGACGTAGGGGGCTGGATCGTACGAGCGTCCTCCAATGATGATGTCGAAATCCGGATGCTCCTGCATCGCCTTCACATAGGGCTCGGGCCCCATCTGCGCGACAAGCAACCGGGCCTGGTCCAGGTGTTCCTCCTGCAAGGGGGGCGCAGCGCCACAAGGGACAATCTGATCGACCTGCATCTTTTGCGAGACCAATGATTTGGAGATCCCGGATTTGATGGTGACCACCTTTAGCGGTCGATAGTGCTTCTCGGCGATGATTTGGTTGATAATGTCGACAAACATGTCGACCGCGTCGTCCTCCCCATTGCCTCCGGCCGAGCTGATGATGACGGGTACGCGATTGAAATGACAGGCTGCGATCAGAATGGCCAAATCGCGAGCATATCGCTCGGTCGGAAATGTCGTAGATCCCAGGGCAAGTCGTGATGGTCCACCATCTGTCGATCCGCTGTCCAACACAATCGCATCCACCCCGGCGTCGACGGCTTGCCAAAACAGCGGCTCGCTGAAGCCATATCCCAGCATTCCCACTGGGGTGAGAATGCGCAACTCTTTCTTGTCCTGCATGCTGACTGAATGAACGTTGGACGAGAATTGGACCAGAATGGCGACCGTCAGTGCTCAGCAGCAGTGGGCTGCAGATGAGCCAACAGATATGGCTTTGACAACAACAGTCCACAGTGCCAAGCACAGACACAGCACGGACACATGATTGAAAGGCTGAGGGATCAAAGGATTGCTGGACTATGGGTGGTATTCTGGCCGATTAGATTGTGTGGAGGGATTGCGGGATTGTTGGATTGCCGGACTGCGCCTCCTCGACAAGTGAGATCAGGCAAAAAAGCATAATCAGAGATTATATACACCAACACCACCAATGTAGTCCAGATGTTCAACAACTTCTTATCCCTTCACACATAATAATGACTACCCAGCTTCAACAGATGGTGGGAGGTTCCCTTCCTCTGGAACCAGCCCATCTACAAGTTCTCGACTCTCGGTCGGGCGCGAGCATCAAAGTCCCCATCCACCCCGGCAATTACATTCATGCCTCCGATCTGAGCAAGATCCAATCCCCTGAACCGACCAAGAACAGCAGCGATGTGGATCTTCATGCGCCTCGGTCCTTGCGGATCCTGGACAATGGCTTCGCCAATATTGCGTGCATGAAGTCCAGCGTAACCCTGGTGTAGGTGACCATGCTTGCTTTCTCCGGGCTGCTAGGGCTTGTCTTGTGCTGTGTCTGACTGACATTCTGCTGGTAGAGATGGCACGCGTGGGATCATACGTTACCGTGAAGTTCCCATTCAGCAACTATTCCACGACTACGTCTATGAAGATGTCATGCACCTTCTCATCTGGGGCTCTTTGCCCTCGGCCAAGCAGAAGATCGATTTCCGCGCCGCTGTCGCCAAGCAGGCTGTGCCTCCCCAGTCGGTGGTGGATGTGATTGCCGCATTCCCGTGAGCTCCCATTTGCAACCTTCCCCGATCAATCTCACTCATGTCATGTCCTCATAGACGCGAGGCCGAAACCTTCACTATGCTGATGGCCGGACTGAGCGCCTTCGCCGCCTCTGATGACCTCGTCCGCGCCTCCCATCGCCAGATCAAGCCCATGTTCCACGGCAACCTTCCCGTCGCCGACGAGATGATTGTCCGTACCATCGCCTTCTACGCCACCACCGTTGCTCTGATCTACTGCCACAAGCAGGGCAAAAGGTTCACCCCGCCACAGGCCCACCGCTCCCTGATCGGTAACCTCCTCTGGATGATGGGAATCACCGACCCGCGGGTCGAAAAGTGCCTGGACAAGCTGTGGATCCTGTACGCGGACCACGAGATGACCAACTCGACGGCCGCCCTCCTGCACGCGGGCTCCTCCCTGGCCGACCCCATCTCCGGCATCATCGCCGGAGTCGGCTCGGGGATGGGGCCCCTGCACGGCGGGGCGATCGACCTGGCCTATGAGATGCTGGAGATGATCGGCTCTGCGGAGAACGTGCCCGAGTTCATCGAGGGGGTCAAGGCCTCCAAGACGCGGCTGTTCGGCTACGGTCACCGCGTGTACAAGACGCGCGACCCGCGCCTGTCGCTGATCGAGGATCTGATGAACGAGCACAGGGACGCGATCGATGCAAACCCCATCCTCCGGATTGCCATGGCTGTGGATCGCCAAGCGAACGAGGATCAATATTTCGTCGAGCGGAACGTCAAGGCCAATGCGGATTTGAAGGGCTGTTTCCTGTACACTGCCATGTGAGTTGCCCACCTTGCTTAGAAAGCCGACTGCGCAATGCTGATGTTGATGCAGGGGCTTCGAGACGAACATGTTTGCCGCCATCGTCGGTCTTTCTCGTGTGCCAGGTGGATTGGCCCACTGGCGTGAGACTCAGAGTATGTTACCCCCTTTCATTCTACTTGTCTCCGAGGAATAATACCCTAATGGTCTTTTAGTTGCCCCGATCAGGCTCTGGCGACCGCAGCAAGTGTATGTCCCATTCACCGAAGCTGAACCCAAGGCGAAACTATGATTTCGTAATCGTAACGATATTTATCCGCACTGATGCTCATTTTATACCCTTTTTAACACTTGCAATGTATCTCAAAATTCACAAGCAACACGTCTGTCTCGAAAGCGAGATGCCATGTTCCTGGTATTCAATTGGTCCTCCGTATAGGTCGCTGCTATAAGTCGTAGCAAATTTTGGAAACCCTCAGTATTCACTTCCATCGCACATGCGTTGCCCAGAGAGCCTTTTTCTTAAACATGTTTATACCTTAGGAAGTGAATAGAAGCGGAATAGGAAGGCTCCAAACGTTGTAAAGCATCGAGTCTCAAATCATACAAATTTAATATTCTTCTCAGGGGAAATGCTCGATAAGCTCCACGAGAACGAAATCATCTGTGACTTCACTAGGCTCTTAGTGTCTCATGTACAACAGGTTAGTGTTAGTCTCAAGGCAAGTGGTTGGTATGGGAAGTAAGTGTGAAGAAGAACCCCAGCTCTTGCGGGGTGACTCGGTGGCTCAGAGCATTCCAATCATACACGACATGTATATGGCGAGACAGGTATTCACCAACCACTGGAATTAGCTGAATTAGCTGGTAAATCCTGTGCCTCGCAGCATTAGGGCTGGGTTGTGGGCGGAAGCCAGACAGGATTGGAGGATGATGGATTGCGGGATTGCGGGATTGCGGGGGAACACCCAGGAGCCCAGCCAGGCCAGAGGAAATAAATGATTAAGTGTCTGGGGAGACTTGGATGCTGTTTTGGCATCATTTTCACAAATCAAGATCATGGAGCAATCGACATTGTCCGCTCAACGAGGTTCCCTCGGGCGCACCGTGGCCTTGGTTGCCAACGAACGGCTGGCTCGCGTCCTCTACCATCCAGATGAAGGTCTCTACCACGTCACCCCTTTCACAGAGAACGAATACCCCAGAGAAAGATTCGTCTTCTCTGGCACTACCCCGTTCCGTGTTCAAGAGGTCGACTCCCACGGGGATATTGTACCTGGCTTGGTGACCGAGTCCGACCTCACATTCGGCCGATGGTGCTACCAGCAGAAAGCGGAAGACTCAGCACCGTGGGCCGACATCAATGACAACGTCGCATCAGACTTCCTCGTCAACATTCTCTGTCGCTGGACGGGCTGGGACAGTCGCCTCACCAGCATCTTCGAGACGCAACTTCGCTGCTCCACCCAGTATCTGGCCGACGCCTACGCAGAGAACCGGCCTTCCCCCACTCGGGACTCGAGCTTCATCACCTGGGAACAGTCCATCGTGGAAGCCAATATCAACCCTCTCCACAAATGCCGCATGCCGGTTGATCCCAAAACACAGCCCACGAGTGGCTTCAACTTCAAGCAGGCCGAGATTGCCTTCATGGCTGTGCAACGCAATCTCATCGACTCCTACGGCCCCCTAGAGCAGGAGCTTGCGCCTCTGCTGAAAGCCGCCGGCGTTGACCCGCGAACCGCGGCTCTGCCCAACGAGGTCGTGCTGCCCGTTCACGAATTCCAAGTGAGATTTTTGCTTTCGCGACCGGAGGCCGAGGGCAAACTCCGGCTGCTGCCCCAGAGAATCAAGGCCCTAGCGCAGGCGTCGACACGGAGCATGACGATTCCCTCCCTTCCAGGTCTGGGCATCAAGCTCTCGCTCTCCATGTTCATCGGGGACAATATCCGTACCATCAACCACCGGTCTGCCTACAATGCCGTGCGCTACTGGACTGCTGGCATGCTCGATCCAGCTCGAGTCTGCGGTTTGCAAGGCATCCCGCTCGAAATCCTTCCTGAGGTGACATGTGCCAATGCACTTGGCGATCACCTGGCATGTATGGTTCGATGGGATCCCTATCACAGCTCGCGGCCCCCCGTCGACGCGGACGTGGGTTACGCAGTTACCGGGGCGTTGATTGAGCCCGCGGAGATCGGAAAGAAGGGCTGCGTGGCCGAGTCGGCCTTTGAGTTGACAAGCTTGGCCGATCGTCTCAACTTCCTGCGCGAGTGAGTGCCCCTATCCCCACCTTAAATCCAGCATCATCCATCCAAGCAAGCCCTAACTGATTTTCACAGCTACACTCGCGTCTACTTCCGCTGCTTCCTCACGCCCCTTTTCCGCAACGGCCTCCTGCTGGATGCACACGGCCAAAACTCCCTCGTGCGGTTCTCGCGCAGCACCGGCCAGATCCTGGGATTCAGCTCGCGGGACATGAGCGGCACGCGATTCAACGGCACGCACTTCACGCGCACAACGGGGATCGAGATCGACCCGCGCATGAGCAACCACGACATGCCCGTGCCCGACCTTCTCGAACGCGCCTACTTCATCTTCTTCGTTGTGCACCTGTGCCCGTTGCTGATTGCCCTGGACCTGGATTCGCTGTCCGCCGCCAGCTTTACATCGGCCGAGCTGCTGACGGGCGCCGCCAGCCCCAAGGAGTCGGCGGATCTGGCTAAGGGCAACGGCTGCGCGGTTATCGTGCGCGAGCTGCACGAGATCATCCGCGAGCATGAGACGCTGGCCGGCGATGATGCCTCTGCCGTCAGCGCGCGCGAGCTCGCGGCTGCCGCCCGGGCAATCTGGCTGGAGAAGTCGACGTGGCAGTTGCAGTGTTTTGTGTCGCAGCGCATGCGGGCGGATTGGGCGTGTCGCGATAAGAATGTGAGTTTCCTCCTTCCGGTGTTTGAAGATCGATTTCTGACGGTCGCATAGGACAAACGCTCGTTTGCTTCGGTTCCTAATGTCTTGGTTGCGATGTCTGGTTGATCCTTTGATGAGAGCCTGTGGTGGGGTTATTCATGAAGCTCGAGTCTGGTCTGGCTGGATATGGGGGTATTTGAGTCTGATCCCGCTTTAGGGAGGGTGCAGATACCCGAAACAGTGAGAGATTCCCTGGTATATAGTTGGCTGGTGGAATGCAAATGCAAAGCGATCTCTGCAGTAGATAACCCCTCACCCCTCATCCTCGCATAATTATACCTGAATAGGCATTCTTCTTACCATGAGATTGCATCATCGCATAGATCGGCTGCCCTCATATAAAGCCGATCGCGCTGCAGTATGGATGATGGTATATTCTTGAAGAAGATATACTAATACACCCAAAATGCCATCCTCCAAGGCCAAGCCAGTCATCCTCTCCCTAGAAGCGATTGCCTCCCAAGCCCCAGAATCGTTCCCCGACCCCTCGCACGGCCATCTCACTTGGCGCACCCTCTTCACCAACCCCACCACCCCAACTAGCGATCTCTGTGCTGGAATCGCCATCTGTCCTCCGCAAACAGGCCATCTCTGTGCCCACCGTCACACGCAAGCTGAGCTGTATTATGTGCTGGAAGGTCGCGCGACGGTGACGATTGACGGGCAGCCCCACCAGATCGCCAAGGGCACGGCCGTGTTTATCCCCGGTGATGCAGAGCACTCGGTCATGAACGACAGCGATGAGGATTTCAAGTGGCTTTATGTTTTCCCCGGGGGGAGTTTTGGGGATGTTGTCTATCGGTTTTCGGAGAAGGCCAAGCTGTGATGGCTGACGAGGACTTTGCTGCACCGCTGTTATTTATAGCTCGGCCCCACTGTCGTTCTCGTTCTCGCTCTCGTTTTCGTTCTCGCGAGTGCAGTCCAGGCATAAATTATGTTGAATTGGAGGTTGATGGACGAAAGGAATCAAGAGTATAGGGGGTAGAATGCGTAGGCAGCAAGAACAACATTATCTAGATTATAAGAAGTCATGAGCTGGTGTAGCTGGCTGATAATTGCTCCACGCTCACTTTCGCGATAGTCCCTCGTTTTGTCTTTCTTTCGACATCGTTCTCTCCAAACATGGTCGACAGTACGAACATCTACGGCTTCGACCCCAGCGTGGGAGCAGCAGTCGTAGCAGCGCTGCTCTTCGGAAGCAGCAGTCTTATACACTGCTACCAGACCTGGAAATATCGCGCCCCTTTCTTCCTCGTCTTCATCGTCGGCGCCATCAGTATATCCCCATCCCCTCTTCAACACGCTCCTGTCTTCAACTGATACTAATGCACTCGCAGTGATGACCATCGGGTACATCACCCGTATCATCTCCGCCCAATCTCCAGACGAACTGACACCCTACATCATTCAATATATCTGCATCCTTCTCCCTCCCTCCCTCTACGCCGCCTCGATCTACATGCTCTACGGCCGCATTGTCCTCCTTGTCCACCAACCCGCTTTATCGATCATCGCCCCCACCAAAGTCACCAAGATCTTCGTCCTGGGCGATACCCTCTCCTTCCTGACCCAGCTCGGCGGGGGGTCAATGATGTGCTCGACCTCGACCGCCCAAACCGGCCAAAAGGTCCTGATCGTCGGGCTGATCATCCAGCTCCTTTCCTTTGGGCTGTTCTTCCTCACGGCCGTGGTCTTTGAAATGCGGTTGCGCAAAATGATGCTGTTCCGCAGACGAACGCACTGGCGCACGCTGCTATACTTCTGCTTCGTGGCGGCGGCGTTGATCATCCTGCGGTGCGTGTACCGGGTGATCGAGGCCGCGCAGGGGGCGGGCGGGTTCTTGGCCACACATGAGGCGTATATCTACTGCTTCGATGCGCTGCCCATGTTTGTGGTGCAGGCGGTGTTTCATCTGTGTCCGCCGGGGAAGGCGTTGCGGCCATCAGAGGGGGATAATAATTATGGGGAGATGGAAGAGTTGAAATAGGGTTGTGCTGTACGATTGGAGCTAAAACCACGAAACCATTGCGTTATATTGTTAGATGGAAGATCGAACAATGCTTTCTAACTTTCCAAGTCATGAATATGCACACGTCGCTCAACATGGTGCTCGCTCAAACCGACCTAAAAGTCCAATCACACTACACGCATCCATCGCCATCACTTACCAAGCTCATCCATTAGAGCTCTTCTCACTCTTCCAGACAAAGATCTAGTAATCTACCCAGAATGCCACCTCTCCCACCCACAGACGTCCCCTACCACGCGGTATGTCCCCCGTCACAAACCACCGTGGCGCCCGTCATAAAACTACTGCCCTCGCTCATCATCAGCAACGCCAACCCGCGAAACTCCTCCGGCCGCCCCAGCCTCCCCATCATATTCTCCGCCTCCCAGACCTCCTTCGTAGCCGGGTCCTGATCGATCACCATCTGCGCCATGGGAGTGACCACATGCCCCGGACAGAGGGTATTCACCCTGACCCCACCATTCCCATCAGCATCCACCTTCGCCCACTCCATCGCTAAGCTCCGTCCAAGCTGGACAACCGCCGCCTTGGAGGAGTTATAGATGGACGAGGTCATTCCCTTGTTAGCGATCAACCCGCTCATACTGGCCACCAACAGAACCGATCCGCGGGTACGATGGGCCCGCATCTGCCGCCCCGCCGCCGTGGCGGTATGAAAAACCCCCTTGTAGTTCGTGTCGATGATCCGGGCCATGTCGTGGTCAGTATAATCGAGCGCGTCGGCGACGTGGTTGATCCCCGCCGCCGCAATCACCCCGTCCAGCCGCTTCCGCCGCGCCGCGATGGCCGCCAGCGTCGCCTCCGTGTCGGGCCGGTTCCGCACGTCCAGCGAGGTGTAGTGCAGCCCGCCGCCGAAGTCGGGGCTTGCCCGTGCCTGTGCCGCGTGGAAGTCTGCGTGCGGGGTGGGGAGTAGATCCAGGCAGTGGACTATCATTAATATCAGTATCCTTCGGGCCACTTCGCAGTGAAGCACTCGCTTGCGCGAGAAGTCATAAGTGAGGGCGCGTGCATACCTTCACCCCCGGCTTCGACGAGCGCTTCCGCCATGCTCAGCCCTAACCCTCGACCGCCCCCGGTTACTGCAAAAACCTTGCCCTCGAGGTTGAACTCGCGGAAGCGCTGTTGCTGCGCTGGTCCCTTGGGGAGCGGTTGTTTTATGCTGGTTTGTGCCGTGCTGGAGAGTCGAAGGCTATGCCAAACAACTGGGCGGAAAGCCCGTGAACGCATTGTTCTTGCTGTGAACCGAATGTGCATGATGAATGCACTTGCAGAGGAATGTTTAGTGGTGTCATCGGGTGGTGTTGAGCACGTCAATCATTGATCCAGGATTTATAATCTGTATGCGCAGCATCTACAGCCGGAGATGGCAGATCCACCAAGAAAACAGAGCCTTGGCAGGCCAAGGTGAGATGCGATGAACGATGCAACGATGATGACATTGCGATGGTAGAATCAGCGATTATGGAGCAGGTTCTTGGCGGTTCCTCTCCCGTAACTTTAAACGGGACGATCGACTCGAATAGAGTTGAATGTGTGGACAAGAGCTTTCAGGACAGCGGCTGGCGGTGCCTGGATATGGCAAACATGGGGCGGCAAGTGCCGACTCGGCCATGGGACGTCATGTTGAGATATACCCGTGCGGAGGAGATGACACCATTATGAACTCAGCTGGTCACGATGGAGGTCGCTTTCTAGTTGCTTCTACGCCCAAGAACGCTGAAGACAAACCTCCCGTGCACATCGGTGTCCTATTTCTGATTGTCATTGCAACGTTAAGCAAGAAGTGGAATAGAAAGAGAGTCAAATAATCAGGCACAGGTCGAACAGACATCTCAAAACCTCGCCGTGGCCGCCGCAAACACCCCTCGAGGATCGTGTTTGCCTTTCATCTCCACCAACCACGCATAATTCTCCCCGAACGTTCGCGGCATCTGCACCTCCTCCGGGGCTGTCAAAGATAGATACGTCGACGGGAGAGCATTCTCCTGATCGGTGCGGCTCAGCTCGTTCCAGAAGTCCTGCCCCCACGCGGTCGCAAGATCCAGATTCTCTTCGCGCTGCGCATTTCCAATAATCTCGAACACGAAATGGCCTTCCCTGGCCGCAAACACAGAGTCGGAGTGACCCTGGGCCGATGGGGTGCCGGTCCAAAGCTCATGCATGGCGAAAAAGGTGTGCGGATCCGTCTGCATCTTCAGGACGCTGGTGGAGATCACTTCTAAAACCTCTTCGCTCAATTGCTTCAGGCTGATCGTCCACACATGCCCACGCGTATGGGACGGCACCATTCGATCCGTGTCGGTCAGATAGGTAAGGGGCGTTGTTGGTTGGACGGCGTTGTGAGCCACCGGAGCTAGAGCGCTGATTTTCTCGGCCCATGATTGTCCAGTCTTGGTGTCGGAGGACGCCCAAACGAACAGGACAACCAAGGTCTTACCGTGAGGAAGGTTGAGGACACTCTGTTGCAGGGTGAGTTCTGCAGGGATCCCTTCGGCACATAAAGCCTGGTAGCCCGTGTTGTACTGTCGGATGACTGCAGGGAGGTCATCGGACTGGAACGCAATGGCGCCTGCGAGAGTCTGCCGATGGTCAGAGTCGCCGACTAGGGAGATGTGGATCAAAACATACTTGAGCCAGGCGGTGCACCGGAATCGTGAGCTCAGCGACAACCCCGAATGCTCCCCCCGCGCCACGAAGGGCTTTGAGCAGCTCTGTGTCGGCGTCCACCAGCCCCCCCTGAGCGTTGATAACTTTGGCTGCCAGGATTTGATCGACTCCCAATCCAAACTCGGAACTGTACGGTCCGTAGCCACCGTACATCGCCCATCCCGCGTATCCGACCGAGGAGACCGTCCCGACTGCAGCGGCCAGCCCATGCTTCTGCAGCGCACGGATCAGATCCCCGCCGAGGATGCCTCCCCCGATTTGCGCGGTCGAGGAATCCTGATCAATCTCGACGTAGTTAATCAAACGCATGTCGACCGCGACCGCCCCATTTCGGAAGAATCGCCCAAAGGAATCGTGGCCTCCCGACCGAATTGTGAATGGGATGTCGTTAGCCACCACGAAGGACACCACAGAGGCCGCAGCCTCCACGGTAGATGGACGAGCGATCACAAGGGGATTCAAGTCGGGTAGAGACACATATGCCGCGCGCAGCTCCGCATACTTGGGAGAGGACGGGGTGGCATATTGGATGGATGGGTTGTTTGCGAAGAACCCGGCGAGTTTGTGCAATCGCTCACTCGCAAGATCGTCAGTCATAGCGTCGGCTATTCTCTGCAGTCAAGCGCGATGATGATGGGTAGATTGAGGTTGGTGACACCGTGGTGGCTTGCTGCTGTTCATATATGCAATACGTCATGTGAACCCAGACCTCGCTAAATCTGTAAGATTCGTTGTCTTGCCGTGCGGAGGGTTGCACAGGATTTAGGATTGCCAATTATCCGCTGAGTCAGATTGCAGGAATGCGTCGAAGAGCTAAATTTCGACCCCGATAGGCTGTAGCGTCTGTGCCTGCGTGGTACATCATCCCTCGGAGTTTGCTGTCATCCGAGCGAAGCAAGGCTGGTCAGCAGAAGCCTCAGATGTCAGGTAAGCGCATATTGGTCAGCAGCCTATTATTCAGCATCCTAGACCCCCTCCTCCTCCTTGTATTCACTGAGCACCCCTCAGTCCATCAGTTCGATCAAGTCTTGCCTACCGGTTCTCTGCGCATTCTCCCGCGCACTGCCAAACGGCCCTCTCAAGTCCGGATCTGCCCCTTTCGCCAGCAGCCACCGCACCCGATGTCTTGCGCCCACCACAACCGCATAGACAAGGGCATACCGATGCGTCATGTGCTGCGTCTCCTCCGCCGCATTCACTTTTGCACCCCGCTCGACGAGCAACTCCATGATTGGGATCTGCGCACGGTCGGAGTCTTCGTTCTGAAACTTCTGGTTTGGATAGACATGTGGATTCCAGCCAGCAGGACATCTACCCGCCGCGCAGTGCAGCGGGGCGCCCTCGTGGATATTTGCGCCCGCATCGAGAAGTAGACGGACGGATTCGAGATTCCCGTAGTTGGCGGCCAGTTCGAGCGGAGTCAGCCCTTGAGCGCCCGTGATTGGGCCCGGATCGTTAGGACTGAACCCATGGGCGAGGAACCATTCCAGCACAGGGGCATCGTTGACCACCCGACTCAATATGATCCTGTCTACAGGATGGTGAGTGTGGGGGTGCCATCCGCGACGGTTGAGAAGATCAAATAGTCGAAGGCGCTGGTCTTCTGGGCCTTCAAGGATGCTGACAGGGGTGCGTTGAAGGATGGGGGCGCCACTCGTGAGGAGATACTCAGCTGTTTGGAGGTTCCCTGCCTGAAGGGCATAGGTCAAAGCTCGATGCAGAAAGGCTGGGCTCAAAGGTTCTGTGGACAGTGCCTCCTGGAGGGCTGAGAGAGGACCCTTCCGACAGAGGTGGTCGAAGGGGGTGCTTGGGGGTGGCGTGCGGTCAATGCAGGTGCGATCGATGGGGGAGCTGATGGGGAGATCATTGTAGTAGCCAACACTCATGGGAGTTCCAAATGCTGGTCGCTGCATTCTTGAGGCCGATTGCACTTGAGCTGCCTGTGCTCGCTGCATTGCCTGCTGCTGGAGAAGACGCAGTGCGTGTTGATTGGAAAGTGCATGTTGTTGAGGCATGGTGGATTGGTGATGGGATCATTGACCAAGACGTAGCTTGCCCCCGTGCGCGGGAGGAGCCTCCTTATATACGCCGAGTGGCAGGTGGAGAGGATTGGGCTCCTGCTAACCCATTTGGGAAGGGCCATTTTGGACCGTGGACCGTCCGTGTACGGCATTCAGCGCATGCCATCGCCGCTTCTGCATTTGGCTTCATGGCTGCGCAAAGATCCAGTCCATCGGAGACAGGTACACTTGGTTCGGATCGATGCCCGTCTGATTGAACCCGAGTAAAGAAGCGTAGTCAATGGCATCTGCCCGGGTGGTGGAACCCAGAATCTCTGCTTCACCCGCGACACCATGAGCCCCAAGGCTTATGTTCGCATCCATTTGAGGCGAAAATCTCTGCGTGCCACCAGCTGCTATGGCATCGCTATTTAGCGGTTCCAGATTACTGCGACCGGGGAAAGATACTTGCATTTCGAGTATCCTTCTACGAATGTCCGCTACCATTCGTGGTGGTTGTGGTATTCCGTCAGGCGATGCTGCCTCGCGCGCTTCCCAGGCCTGAAGAACGAGGCGCGCGATGACCACGAATATAGACGATTCATTCGCCACGCTACCCACGCTGCGCGCCTCGTAGTTTTCACTCATTGCTTCCCAGATCGCAGTGGTTTGTTTCGCCGATCGTCTCCGCAGATCTTGGAGAATGTGTATGTAGGCGGGTAGCGGGAAGTACATGAGCAGAAACCACCGATATCCCACGGTGAGTGGGGAGGCCATCAGTCTGGTGTCCGAGCCGAGGACAGTAAGGGCATGGTCTAGAGCCTTGTCCAGCGCGGATTCTGTCGGCTTTTCGCGAGCTTTTGCCTGTTGGGTGTAGTATTCGAGGAGATAGTTCTTGGCCACTGTCCCACGTACCGTCCAGAGAACCATGTACTGCAGAGGATTGTCGAGGCTACAGGAGGCGAGATACTTGCGCTCTATAGTATTCTCGAACTCGGCCATGTCGCTGGGATGCTGTGATGTGCCCACCATGCGATGGAGGAGGGGATTCGTGAGGTCAAGATGAAAGGGACTATGACGGATAAAGTCTGCAATCTCACTCCGAGCCACAGTAAAGATTGCCTCGGTCGGTCGGTCGTGTACGGCAGGCATTGCCGTCATCTCGGGTCGGAGATCAAAGTCGTGTATGTTGGCTGGTGGCCGACAGTCCCAGGTTGGTTCTAGTGGAGCTGTTCGGTAGTCGAACATCTCGCAAATGCGGCTATCGAACAGGATGAGAGACCACCACAGCCGGCGGCGCATCTCCCCTTCCAACGCCGGGTAGCGAGCATTGGCCGCTTCTTGATGTAGGCACATACGGCGCGCGATGCGGATAGCCACAGCTAACATGGAGGACAACGACCGGGGATCTGTATCTTGACGTATAGACACCTTTTCGAGATCAGTATTTGCAAAACTAAGAGATGATCTTATGCACCGACCAGGTAGAGAAACAGCGCAGTCAAACTGTCGCGATCGGGTGATCGAAAAGCATCACAGCGCCGCAACGCCTGCTGGCAAGCGAGCTGGTAGCGACCTATTTTCTCTTTGCGAGTAGCGCCGAGCACCTTCCGGCAGTCCTCGTCCGTGCAACTCAGCAGAGCCATGCAGTAGATGCTGAACATTAAGGCCTCCAGTGCCGGAGGGACCCGAGCTAAATCGGCTGCGGCGTCGATGATGCGGGACTGCAAGGTTGGCGTGTGGGTGACCTTGAGCAGTGGGTCAATGTTATCCAGATACGTCTGCCAAAGTCGAAAGATTTGAGCCTGGTCTGGGTGCGTGGCTGCAAGATCCATGTCGGTCGCTGCAGGGCCGAACAAGAGAGAATCATTCGGTTCACGCTGGTACATCTGATTCCAGACAGTCGTAATCACGCTTTGATTTACATCCTGGCCGAGACCACCATGGGTTGCCTCATCGTCATGGTCAGGGTCCCTTGCATCCGCTGCCTGGGGGGTACATCAGTCCAGTCATCCCGATCTCAATCTGCGACTTGCATTACCCTTTGATTCATGGCATGCCACAGGTTTCTATATGAGATATGAGCTAGCTGCACTAGAGATTTGCTTTTGTTCTGTAGCGGTGAAGGAACCTACACTGCTCTGGGCTTCGCATCCGATCGTCGTTCTAGCTCGGACCTGCATGAGCTTGGCTCCCTCTCACCGGGTGAGGTCGGGTCATCCGGCGAAGGATGTAACGGCTGAAAAGGGATGTTGTTGTCGCGTAGAAGGTCCTCATAGTAACGGAGACGCTCTAGGAGGTCGCGCTCGGCGAAGCGTCGACGTCGCTGGCGCGTAGCCAGCACACACTCAGCGCCCGCGCGAAGGCAGTTGGCACAGGGCGATTTGCGATCGCATCTGATCTTGCGTTGCTGACAAAGCACACAGGATAAGACTCGGTGTGGCTTGGAGCCAGAAGCGGTGGGGGGCGACTCTGCGGGGGTGGACATGACAGACAACAACGACCATTCTTGGGAGACAAACGGATGGGCGCCGTCAATGTGATGGGTTGTAGACGAAAGAGAGAGTCCGAGGCAGGCGCGACGCCGGCCGCCGGAGATTATGGGCTGCGGTGGCAGCCTGAGGCATCCAGCTGCTGCCTTGCTCGGGACTTGGAATTCCCGAGGCTGCTCAGCATCTTTCACCACCTTCTGCCCTTCGATGATTTATGTTCAATCTCAGGATTGAGCCATCAAATTCACCTAGATCCATGATACATAACGGATTTTGAGATGTAGAAACCACCTGCATGGCCTTACATAACTGGAACTAGAGGTAAGAGCTATAATTCTACTCGACAGACTGCAAATTAACTCCTGGAGAACATCTAAATATACTCTCAAAAGGAAAGGATGCCCAGCTCACGTACCAGGTACTCATAGCTATAGGGTGCCGACGTGAAAGGGCTTTGTGTTCCCGGCACGGATAGGGTCAACATCCCGAGGTCAAAGCTTAAGCTCTCATACATGAGTAATACTGGTATGTCCGAGAGGTAAATCACCCCCAGATAAGCAGTAGTACTGTACTTGAGGCTGCCAATGAGCAAGAGAGCCAAGCAGATGTACGTGGCCTGGGGTGACTCAATTACAAAGCTCGATGCCTCGTTGGAGGACGCTGTGAGTCAGCGGAGGTCGGCCTTCACATGGCAGCGCCACAGACAAGGATCCATACTTGCTTCTGGGTCCTACGCACTCGTAGCCACTGTTCAGGCCTATGGGGTGTTGGTGATAGGGCTGCAACGATGCGCCTGCAGGCAGTAACAATGCGAAGTGTGGCTGAGGAGGTGGCGGTGGTCCTCGGGCTTGACTTCTTGGTCTGGCAGCTCAAGCCGATAGTGGCTCGGGTCTGAGTCACGGTGCGCTCTCATTGCGCCGCGAAAGGCCTAGCGCGGCATTATCTCCGAGCGCAGTCAGAAGTCCGAGGCTCGGGAAATACGAATTCCGCCTTATCTCCGACCGGCAGCAGAAAGTGGCGAGTGAATGCATCCAATGCATCCCAGGCTGGCAACAAGCGTTACGACGACTATATCGCGGTGGCGAAACTCTATCAAAACATCCAGCCTGGTCACCTTGACGACAATCTATAAAAGCTGTAAAAATCCCGGGCTGATGATGACGATCTCCATCCCCCAACACTTCATTCCATTCATCCCTTAATCACAATACCTTCTCTTCCTCTACATCAATTCACTACTACCATATCTCTCCTTAAAACAACAACGACGAACGAACAATATGGCTTCGATACGCCAACTCAACCAAACTGCTCCCTTCTGGGACTTTATTGCCGAGATTGAAGAACGCGGGTTCTCCCACCACCATGATCACGACAACGATGCCACCGACAATGAAGAGCAGTGGCACGGTCGAGGAGGTCGCCGTGGATGTCGTGGCCCTCACCACCGCCGCCACCGCGAGCCCACCCCGGAAGACGACGAAGACGACGAAGAAACAATCCACGAAGTAGAGCTAGAGGAATCATCCTCGGATAGCTCCGACGAAGAGCACGATGAGCCCCGCGGCCCAAAGCCACACCACGGCCGCAAGGGTCACGGAAAGCACGGCGGATTCCACGGCAAGGGACATGGCGGTCCTGGTCGTCGTCGCCACAGCCCCGGACCAGGTGGTCCCAGAGGCTTCGGACCCCGAGGCGGCCCTGGGCCTTTCTCGGGTCATCGAGGTCCCCACGGTTTCGGGGGCCCCAGGGGTAAATTTGGCGGTCACCACTTTGGCCCCCGCGGCGGCTGCGGTCCTCGCGAAGATGTCGACTTCCTTGAGCCCTTCGGCCCTCACAGAGGTCACCACGGCGGATTCGGTGCCCGTGGTGGTCATCACGGACCGCACCCGTACTGGGGAGGACGCAAGCACATGCGCGGATTCAAGCATGGCGGCCGATGTGGTCCTCCCCCGCCTCCTTCGGGCTTCTTCGGACCCTGGAGCCGATTCGGATTCGACAACAAGAACAACACCGAGTTTCAGCCCGAAGTGGATGTCTACGATACCACCGACGCTTTCCTCATTCACGTCTCCCTCCCCGGTGCCAAGAAGGACGCGGTGGAAGTCAAGTGGGATCCGCGCAAGTATGAACTCAGCATCTCCGGTGCCATCGAGCGCCCTGGCGACGAAGAACTGCTGAAGGCCCTGGCGCTGGACGAGCGTCGGGTGGGTGCCTTCGACCGCAAGGTGCGCCTGGGCAGTGCTGCCCACCCGGTCGAACTGAATGCCGATGAAATCACGGCGGAGATGGAGAATGGGGTCCTCAGTGTGCGGTTGCCCAAGGTGGAATCGGATGTGGTGGTGGTGACCAAGGTTGAAATTCAGTAATTGGCGCTGCTTGTCGGGTTACTTGCTATGAAACTGGGGCGTTTTGGGGATTCTTGACATACTTCTGGCTATAGTGTTTTGTGTTTAATTTACGATGTCTTTTTGTCGCAGCATGATGCATCTTCGGAGAGAACTGCTAAGCGTAGTTCGTAGCCTGTATCCCAGCAGAAGCTTCTGAGTGTAGACGGCTCGTAGTGTAATTTCCCGTGCGAGCATGTGATGAAGATTGACTTTGACGAGCGTGGAGGTTTCATCCTCTGGGAAGTTTGTCGGAGTAAGGTAGGTAGACATGGTACTAGGGACCCAACACCGCACCAGGTCGTATATATGAATCTATTGGATATTACACTGGTGCGCTGATAATTGATACGAACCCTCCAGAGGCTTCGGTCCCTCCTTCGACTCCATTCCTCATGTATGCACAATCCTGGTCGTCTTACTATGCATCACTAGCCACATTTAGCGTACTCGGTTCGCCATGCAGAGTCTCGGAGTCGGAGGCATCGGGGCAGGAGGCTCGTATCGCGCCACGTGCCGAGTCCCATTCATGGCAAGATACGCGGTTCGTTCTCACGCTGCATCAGATCTCATCTTGGTTATCAGCCAGGAAAGGAAGGTACATAGAAACCCCACCGGGGACCCTCCGATCCCCGACAACACGAGGCTCTAGAGTGGAAATCACTTTAAATTGCCCTATTTCGGCTCCGACTCCTCGGGAAGTATAGTATAGGATACTACTAGTATATTGGTTGATACACAGACTGCGGTGAAGGTGTCACTGGGGAGAGTCCGGCCTGTTCGACTGTGCTCCCTAACCCATGGAGGTAAGCTTCCTGGTGGCTGATGGCGCAAGCAGAGCAATATGGGTCATCTTCTCGTAATTGCCAGCGATAGATAGCAATTTGCGAGCCGTTTCTGCAGCGCGACACACCGGTGCTGCAGACGATTGTCCCGCTTAGCCTAGATTCGGGTTAGGGTGGAGCGAGACCCCTGTCATGCAGGGACAGCAAAGCTGCCGACAGAGTCTCACTCCCCCATTTTATCCAAGGCCCGGCATTTGAAACACGAGAACGTTCTGCAGCAGGTCCGGGTGATTGGCGTAACCACTCCCTGTGGAGGCTTGGGCATAGCGAACCGCTGCGATCTCTCCCTCCTTCATAATGCCTCATTCTTGGCGGAGTTGGGGCTATAATTGCCGTTAGATTGATAGCAGATTGTCCCCGCATTCACCCGTCATTTCGTAATACGGGACATCTGATGGAGAATGTAAGACAGAGGGATACTGCTTTAGGGTTGGGCGGTTCTGCTAACCAGCAATCAAACGTAAATGGGCGAGCGAGATGACATCCCGCCGGGGCAAAGTGGTTGGAGAAGGGGACAAGGGACTCAAGGGAGTGGCATAGGGTCCATTTTCCCAATGAGGGTTATTTAGTGCGAATTAGTGCACCTTCATACGGGCTTGTTTGTCAAGTGCAGTGGTGGTGTGCAGTGGCAGCTCATTCGAGAATCCACTATCAATCTAATTTGCGGAAGGTGATTGGATGGATCGGTACAACTGGAGATATTGAGTGGGGAAGAGCAACCCTGAACACGGCGCGACTTCCTCCGGGCGCTCGGTTGGCACGGCGCGGCACTGCCAAGCCCGACCAGTCAGAATCCCATAAGCAATCCATAATCCGTGCTCCGTATAGGGAGTCACCAGCGCAGTGCAATACTGTAGCCCTAACCCCGGCTCATCGTAGTCCATCTAGTCCCTCTAGTCCCTCTCCAGGCTGCAGCCAAGACTTCTGCGATACGAGATCCCAGTCGCTTCGAGATGAGTAGATGGTTGACAATCATGACCCAATGCTGAGCATACCCTTCCTGTTCGGAGACACCAAGGGCTTCCAGATGGCAGATGCCCAGGTATAAAGAGGCCCTCATCGCCCAGGCAAATAGAGAATCATCAGAGACTCATCACTCCGAGAATCCCAGCAAGCAAAGACCAAGCCAGTCCAGCAGCACCTTCTCAGCTTCAAAATGCGTTTCAGCAACATTCTCGCAGCCCTGGCTCTTGGAGTCTCCTCTGTTCAGGCGTGGAACCGTATCGACAAGGACAATGCGGTAGGTCCTGACAAGAACGCCCTTGTGGTTCGCAATTTGAGTGTCTGACACTTCTCTCCAGGCCCTCCTCGTGATTGACCACCAGGTCGGTCTGACCCAGCTGGTGCGCGACTACAGCACCAACGACTTCCGCAACAACATCATTGCCCACGCTGCCATCGGCAAGGCCTTCGACCTGCCCACCGTCTTGACCTCCTCCTCCGACACTGGCCCCAATGGTCTTCTCCTCAAGGAGATCACCGACATGCACCCCAACGCCACCTTCGTCCGCCGCCAGGGTGAGGTCAACGCCTGGGACAATGCTGAGTTCCGTGCTGCCGTCAAAGCCACTGGCAAGAAGCAGCTGATCATCGGTGGTATTGTCACTGAAGTTTGTAAGTCGCCCTCTATCGATATATAATCTGAGACATCGGGAGGCTAACGATCCCAGGCACCGCTTTTCTGGCTCTCTCCCTGATCGATGAGGGCTACGAGGTGTATGCCAACACCGAGGCTAGCGGTACCTTTGATGCCAAGCTCGCCATCGATGCCAACCGCCGCATGGAGAAGGCCGGTGTCACTCTGATGGGCATCTTCGGCATTGTCTGCGACCTCATGCGCGACTGGCGCAACACCCCCGGCCTGCCCGAGCTCCTCCCCTGGCTCGACCAGTAAGTTCTGGACGATCCTATCGAATCTTGTTCTGTGGTGCTAACGACCCCTGCAGGTACCAGTTCGCTTACGGTCTGGTTGCTCGCCACCACGCTGGTGCCATTGTCAACGGTACCCTGGCTGCCGTCGAGGAGACCCTGATCTAAACCTCGTCCGCGCCACTCGGGCACTCCGAGGCTGATGGCCTGTAGAGCAAACCTGGCGAAGGTGGCTTTAGTCTTCGTGGGTGCCCGACCGCTGCCCCCTTGTCAAGATAAGCCTTGGACTTGGTTCTAGTGGCTTTGGTTGTGGTCTCGGGTGTTCGAACTATAATACAGTCTTGTAATAGAGAATGGAGTGATTTTTTGAAAATTTGGTCGATGACAGCTGACAGCCAATTCACTAATGCACACGTGAGAAGCTTGTAAGCCAGGATCCGGAACCGTTAGGTTCAGGGACTCTTCCGTACCCTTCCGGCTACTCTAATCCACTCAACCTTTCCTAAATTTCCAGGATAATATTTCCGCTCCAGATTCTGGCACGGACTGTAGTATAACATGGCCAGTATGTCTACCTCATGACTGAGGGGTTGTTCTCCTGTGATGAGTTGAACCGAACTTCTGCCAAAAAGAAAATGGAAAAGAAATTATAACAATATGGAACATGGCAGAATCGCGTTTAGGCCGAGATTCAGGCCCAGTGCCCCATGTTTGGAGATTCGGATTGTTTTCCATAACCCTACTCCGAAACATGAAGAACAAAGTAAGATTGATCATCATGAGAGGTTCACTTCATCTTTCCAGAGACCTGCCAAGATCGTTGCAGATGGTCAACCAACCACATATCAGAGTCTCCAAGTCCGCTATCTCCGCTATCGCCGACTCACGTCTCACTCCTAACTCACAGTAAGTTACTCTTCATTATCCTCATATAATCAACTTTAAGTGATTGTCATCTACATCGACTGCATACGCACGAATCACAAAGTCAAATACTTCAACATGCACCTGGAGTTCATCGACGGCAACACTGCCATCTCAGCCACCACCCGAAAGCGCATCCGTAGCCATGTGGCTCGAGGCAAGAACGCGGGGAGACGCCTCGCACGGCCGTCCCGGCTGAACAAAGCCCATATCGATCCTCCGACTTACTTCCGTATCCCTGCCCTTCTTCAGAGTCAGAATACCAAGGAACATCAAGAGGCTATCTGCGACATCGAAAGACCCATCACGAGCGGTTTAATCTTCCCGGTGGAGATGGAGCCACAAACTCGGGACATCGCACACAAGGGTATGTCCGATCTACAGAGCAGTGGCACCAATGGCATGTTAACGGTCTCTAGCGTTTGACTTCATCCGTGACCTACGCGGTGCTCCTGGGTTATTTCACATCGTTGAGGAACCAAGCGCTCCTTTAATTTGGGTCCAATACATGTTCCTCGACGCCGCGTGTGAGTGATCTGGTCATTTTGACTTGGCCATCGAGAACGCTGACGGCGAGCAAGACTTCCATTCAGTCATCGCCACGTGTCTGTGGATTGTACCGGGACTCATATCCGAGCAGCACAGAGTCACCGAGGCTTCGCGCCATTTATTACACACTCTACGCCTCGTCAACGGCCGGCTGGCCGGCGCAAACTCCACCTCGGATGACACCGTAGCGGCCGTCGTGGGCATGGTGCACTACGAGCGACACCAGGGGCAATTCCGACGCGCTCTCATTCACACCCGAGGGCTGCGGCAGATGGTCGACCTGCGTGGCGGGGTTCTAGAGTTGGGATGTGAGCTGGCAAGGAAGATATTTCTGTATGGGTTGGCAAAGCTGGCTGTGATACGTTCCGCTGACTAGCATTCAGGTGTGATATCGAATGTTCGTTCCAGCTGGGCTGTGAGCCCTTGTTTTCTGTTGAAGAGGTCGATGCTGTGACTTTTTCAGCAAATGACTCTGTGTTGAGACCCACTCCAACGACATCTGGAGCCGTCCCTCAAGAATTAAATCCATGTCTAGCCCCGCTGCTACGACATGGAATGCATATTGCACTTGTGTACAACACCATTGGAACCGGTAAACGACCGAAGCTTACATATTATTCTCATTTCGATCTCGTTCTATCCTTCGGCTATCGGCTGTTACAATTCAGTCCATTGCAGGGACCGCGGCCAGTTAGTCATCTGGACGATGTCATTCACCTTGGCTTGATAATCTTTCTCTGCACTTTCATTCGACGACTGGATCGTGGCATCGCTGACAACAATCTACTTGCGAAACTACTTGTATCTGTGGCCGAGAGGGTGGAGACCGATCGTGGAACACAGGAAGCACTGCTGTGGGCTCTGCTTGTCGGCACAGCATCTATCTTCCAAAGGGATATCCCGGAGTGGTTTACGGCGAGGGTTGTAACTCTTATGCGGAGTCTGGGGCTTACTACCTGGGAAGATACTCTATACTTACTTCACCAATATCCATGGGTCAATGCCCTTCACGATGAGCCTGCCCGAGGGCTTTGGCAAAAAGTGTCTCCGTCTTCTGATACATGATTATTGAACTAATAAAAGATAATCATATTGATGACAAAGCTATGAGCAAGATAGCGCATCCTGATACTTGAGAGGTTCTCTAAGTAATGGATATCCGGCACAGTCTTCTTCGCAATGATGCCCGACCATTCAACTACTGCCTCAGCATAGCTTCCACACATCCCGGCTCAACCGACTCCAGCACCTCCGCCAGAGCATTCCACATTCGTTTCTGCATTGCTTTCCCTTCTTCGTCGGTCACCCAGTCGGGAATATCCTTCCTGTATTCGAGCATCAGCGCAGTTCCTGAGATAAATGTCAACATGCAAATCTTACTCGCCCATCTCGCACGAATGGAGAAGACACCCATGGGATTCCCTCCCCGCCACCGCACCATGCAACAGCGTCCGACTCCCATCTTCCGCCGTCCGCCCGTAAAGCCGATGCATATCAGTGATCTGTGCCTTGCGGTCCGACGGAACATTACGGATCAGTTCAGTCGTGCAAAGCCCGGGACAAACAAGGTTGAAGACCACCCCCGTGCGCTCGACGGGCAGCATAGTCGCGAGGTGCTTCAGGGCCAGGATCTCCATCAACTTCGACAGGGGATAACTACCGCATGCATTAGCTTGGTCCTTCTCTTCATCAGATCACAAACAGTGACTGAACAGTAAGAAGACACTCACCTCTTAGCCTGCAACCCCTCATCTCGTTCAATCCCCACCAGCGGATCCTCCCAGATCCCCTGCCACTCCTCCTGGGCTGTGAACCCGATCCGACTTGTCACCATCACCACCCTGACCAGCCCACCACCACTCCTCTCCGCACTCTCCCGCATCTTCCCCGCCAACAGCACAGCCAACAAGAATGTCCCCAGCACATTGACCGTCACAGACAAGAGATGGCCCTCCGCGCGGACAGGGCCCATCATCGCCACCGCCGCATTCTCGATCACCGCGTCAATGCGCTCCAACTCTGCAATGGCCCGCTGCGCAAACGTCTTCACCGAATCAAAACTGCTGAGGTCGAGGTGCCACACCTCCACCACGCCGGGACGAGTGGTACCGTTCTCGATCGCGTCTTTCGCCCTCTCGCCAGCCTCGAGACTCCGGACTGCCAGGATCACCTTGTCGGCTCCGAGCGCGACGAGACGCTTGGCTGCTTCCAAGCCGAGGCCGGTGTTCGCCCCGGTCACGATGTAGGTTCTCCCTGAGATGGCCTCGGGGGTGGCGAGGAGGGGGAGATTGCGGCGTTGGGTCGAGACAATTTCGTCGACGGACATTGTCACTTCGTCTGTATCTTGCTTTGCTCCCGGGGAATGTAGATCTAAAGGGAAAGGAGATTGGCGTTGATGGCTGTTAGTCCACCTGAATGGAAGCGGTTTCTCGGAGTCGACATGCTCTTTATACCCATGGTCGGCGGTGCGTCATGTTTGCTATGCTTGATCGGAGTTTACGGAGTATGTGATTTCAAAGAATAGTAATGATTTCAAAGATGTTCTTAAGTCCGACACAGCATTGGATCTTGGGGTTTAACATCAGTATCTCCATCAAGGTGACGATGTTGGTTGACACTCCAGGTTCGACCACTGGGAGAGTAGTGTCCTAATCGGGTTAGCTGGGGGATCCGCGGGCGCCCCCCGTGGGTTCGAGCGGGGCAACTTTTGGCCACTGGCATCGGGTCATGACTCAGCTTTGGCACCTTCAGGAAGATTGATACTCCGGGCTAGTTCGAAGATGACCGTACTTCTGTCACGTGAGCTTGCGGTTCACCTCCAGCTCTTCAAGGTTTGTACTCGGGATTCCTCAAGCCCTCAACAAAAAAAAACAAAACCCCGACTTTTGAGAAGAAGGTACAATGTCAGCTTTCAGATTCACTGGTCAAGATCTAGATAACAACCTCGTTAGCTCTATAGCCTCTCTTCTGAATGCTGCCGGCGTTCTGAATCTACTCTGGTGAATCATCATGAGTTGCGCAAGCAAAAGGTGGCATTGCTTACCCTTTACCTAAGATAGTAAGGGCAGGCATTGACATACGTACTTCCCAACCATCGCCAAAAATGTTTCGGGAATGGATCCAAGTGGTGGGATGCCACTTCTCCAGCTGCGTACGACAAACCCTTGAATCCACATCGATCAATATAGGAAGCAAAGAAAAGAAGGAGGAAAACAGCGCAGAAACAAAGTAATGCGACCGGGGAAGCTACTCAATAGCCTCCCGCGTAAGCATGCGGCAATGATCCACTATGTCACATAGGACGATCCCACGGATGCTCAGACACGCTCTGTATATGCACAGCACCCCCATGCTCTAATCGAAATGTGCAAGGCATCTCAGCCTGAATAATTACACTATACACGGTCGGGTCGACCCAAACTGTACACTCCCCTCCCACAGAAATCAATACCCCTCCTGGTCGTTCCAGTACAGCGTCCCGTGCTGCACCTCGCCGGTCGGCTTGAGCTCCCAGCGCAGGACCAGCCGCGTCCACTGCAGCAGATGGCTGGCCACCTTGATGTGGCCGACGTCCGTCGGGTGGTTCTTGGGGTTGATGTCGTTGTGCTGCAGGATGCCGTCGGTGTTGAGGTAGTGCACGAAGGTCCAGCGCAGGTCCTTGAAGTACTCGTACACCCGGATGATCTCGTCCTTGTACTGGATCGTCGACTTGTACTCCGTGCCGACTTTCTGGAAGGGACCCCATTGCGACTGGCCGACCGTTAGCGGCAGTCGACCGACATGAGCAAATCGGCAGGTGGTTTGCTTACCATAAGAACGATTTCGGCTTTGGGCCACACGCGATGGATCTCCTCGACCATGTCGACGTACGCTTGGTAGAATTTGTCGCCGGGCACCTCGTTCGGGTGGCGCCAGTCGTTTCCGCCCATCTGGATGAACACCAGGTCGGCGGGTTGCTCGGCCGAGTTGTCGAAGGCGGGAGGGTTGTCGCCGTAGAATTGGTGGGCACGGGCTCCGGGGTCGGAGGCACGGTTCCACCACCAGGTCTGCAAGTGTTAATTCCGGGTAAGTCTGGGGACGGCGTGCAGTTCGAAGATTGGGGAAATACCATTCCGTGGACGCCACCGCCGTAGCATTGCATGTCAGCCAGGCAGACACCGGGGTAGGCCTAGATTAGTAGGATGAGTAAGAGTGTGCGTGTGCGGTTTGAGGGGCCTATTAAGAGAGGGTTCAACTGACAGTGATGGTAAACTCAGCATCTCCGAGTCCAACGCCGTAGAGGAAGGACCAGGACGACAAGGTCTCGTAGGTGGCATATTGACCCCCGGCCAGCCTGTTCGGTCAGTACCTGAACACGCAAGCATCCACCATGTACACTCACGAGCCTCCGATGATTTCCACCTTTCTCTTGTAGGGAGTGGGTTTCGTGATGTAGGCGTCCTTCGCAACGGAAACGCCCGCCAACTGGACTGTGCAGGGGATAAGCAGCGGAACGGCATGCGCGCAGAGACAAACTTATCCTATGCCCCAATTCGTCACTGGCAAGTTGTCAGCCTCCAGGTTCTGCACGGCACAGGCTTATCCGGTTCGCGCACCTCGCATCTCAAACACATTGCTCTTGGTGTCGACGCCATCGGTGAAGTCATCGGGCCCGATGAACTGGTAGGTCGCATCGGCTGTCACGTTCGAAAATCGCCAGTCCAGAGACCCAATTCTGTAGTATTGTAGTTGGTATCGCGGGATGATCGAGAGTGAAGGAGGTAGGATGAAAAGGGGGAGTATACCGATAAGCGACGAGGGCGCCGTTGGAGGTACTGGGGCCGAAACTTAGAGCTAACTGGAATGTGGAGTCGCAATGCGTCAGCCCTTTTTCTGTCTTCTTCCACGGTCGGCACGGTCGGTCGCGGGGAGGATAGAAACCTTACCTTGTTGCCGGAAAACTCAACCTTGATCCCAGGGGCTCTAGGCGCAGAGAGGCAGAGAGTTAGTGACCTTGAGTCCGGCGCATGCCATTTTTCACGGAAAGAACAGAAAAACCCACGACCACCCTGGTCTTAAATTAGCCACCAACTAGAGCGATTGAGGTATTTCCCACCACTCGAGGTGGACTCACAGGAAATGTGCTGGCTATCCCAACGGCCTTTGTAGGCAATCTCCGGAACCCCCGCGTCGTAGTTGCGCCAGGAGTCATCGAGTTTGATGGGGGACTGTTGGCCGGGGTAAGGGTCCTCGCGTGGCTGGCCATTCTGCAGAATGGTGGCAGCCACGGGCCAGACCCGGAGGAAGAGGAGGAGCAAAATGGGGGCGAATCTCATGGTGTGCACCAGCAGCCTCGGAGGGAGGGAAACTTGACGGTCACAGGCAGAGAAGACTCATGATAAATGATAAAAGAGCAGAGCACATGCGAACGGGGGTCGAACAGAATTAACGGTCAGGGGCGACCAGCGCACTCACTTGCACCAAATTCCGCCCAGCCCAGCCAAGCCCACGGCCAAGGCTGCATTTCCCCAGCAGGGCCAGCACTGATGATGACTGGTGGCTTGCCGCCGATTTCCGCGCCATGCCCGCCCATTATGAGGTGATCGCTGACCCTGATTCGCTGTCATACGCAGTCCCTTGATGCCTCGGCGCTAAGGCGTTAAATACCCACAAACATAGCAAACACCGTCATTCATCCTTCACTGGGCCCTCATAGGCTGGCGCGTTGTATGTCGACTAGGTAGAAGTATAGGACCATTCGATTCAAGGTTCCAAGTTCATGGTCCACGCATCTGTGCTTCCTTTCAATGTCATCTCTCAATCTCTCACTTGATAACAGCTTCAGTCCCTTCAAGTCACTTTATCCACCTACTATTCCCATACCGGCATATATCATCATCCATCATATCATCATCCATCTCATACCTATCTCACCGAAGTACTAGTTCTCTAATTCTCCCACATCTTCCCCGCTACACCAACCACACTTCGCTTACCTCACTACTGGATTCAAAACATCTACTCAAAAAGTCCTTCAAATATGAAAGAAGAGAGTGACAAGAGCCTGAGACCTGCTAAGCAGATTCGCATCTCCCAAGATGAGGGCAACAAGTAAGCATTCTCCCCCCATCTATTTACTAGGCACTAATCGCAACGCAAGATATGAAGGGGCTTGCTTGACGATCATGGTGGGCCCCGGAACAAGTCGCTACACCGCGCATGAGAAGATGGCTCGTGCATCTTCGCCCTACATCGACAAACTCCTGCGGGAGCGCACCACGCGCATCATCGATCTCCCTGGCGAGGAGCCTGCGATGGTGGCCATGTATGTGCACTGGCTCTACCATCGCACGCTGCCCGTGATCTGCGACCAAGCCCAGCAGGAGTACCTCCATCTGATCAAGGCATACGTCCTGGGGCTCAAACTACTCGACACCCAGTTTCAGGATACCGTGGTCGATGCTATTGTTGAGCAGAGACAGTCCAGCTCCCAGGATGGCAAAAGTCCCGCTCCCAGCCGCGAAGCGATCAAATACGCCTACTCTCACACTTCTTCCTCGGCCCCAATCCGTCGACTCCTAGTGGATATCACCGCAAACCGCACAACTGATCCCAAATGGCTTACTTCCACTGAGAACGATATGCCTAGGGCGTTTCTTCTGGAGCTGGTCGCCAAGCTGATGTGCCGCCGTGCGACGAAGAAGGAGCCTCTCGACCCCTCCGTTTATCATAAGCACGCGCGTGTCTCCAACAATGCATCTCAGGCAGAGGACGATTTGGGACTTCAGGATCAATCAGGTACTTGGGCCATCCATATGTATAAGGCAGCACACTCACATCTTTGCACGACAGGAATCTCCCAACGAGATTTCTCGGGTTCACGATTCGGGATATTCGCGAGGAAACGTAACCTTGATCATATTATCTCGGCCAACCGAGGGCTCGTGTGATGCACTTTTGGGAAGATGTTACAATGCACATGGGGTTGGGGGTTTTTTTTGGGATCATAAGGGAATACGGTTCTGAAATGATAATAAGGTTCTTGCTCTCATATGCCAAGCGGTACCAAAGGGCTTAAGTGACGTGAAATGACAATACCAGTTGACCTTCTTGGTCGGACAGTCGCCCAGTAGATTCACTTTCTCTGCGATTATGGATTGAGAGTCTATGCCTTGTTTCATTCCAGAACTGTAGCTTTGTAAATAGAGCCCTCCAACCGGCCAACAATGGTAAGTCTTTGTGCTCAGTATGTGAATTTTAATCGCCCTTGAGTGCGATCGATCTACCGCGACCAGAGAATGTTGCTGCTGGTACTTCTCTTTTACTCTCTTTGCCTACCTTCCACATATGAAGCAGACGGGACAGAAAGATCAACAGACTTAGACTTGAGTTCAGTCATTGCAGTGTCCTTGTTTGCAGCATCATTCACTGAGAAATGGTTCGACTCACCCGTTCAACTGTCCAAGACGACGTTGTAAGCACAGAAGGACCGTGCATCGGTACTGAGCAATGTGGACGGAGGGCGAAGAGTGCAGTCGAAGCATGGGTCAACAGTGGAGTCGTGGACAGGACAGTGGGGCATTCAATTTCCCTGGATTTCTTCCGTACCGGTCGGGGTGAGTGAAAGTCCACCAGGGAGATAAGCAAGTAAACTCCGGGAGTGAGGTTGTCACGCCCTGCCTTTGAACTTTGACCTATTCGCATTTTGGAATGACATGTAGGATGTAGCTTGTTCATGTAGATACAGACGGACAGAAGCTGGACGGCAGGATTGCCACACTGTAGTAAGGCAGAGCCAGACATCGTTGCGTGGGGAAAAAAACCAACAGCAAAAAGGTATGACAAGAGTGGGATTCGAACCCACGCCACTTGCGTGACTAGGAATGTTGCTCGTTGGAGCGAACATGGATGATCAGGTTGCCTGACCCTAGCGCCTTAGACCGCTCGGCCATCTTGCCTTGGTGACAGAAGGGCCACTTGTTTGATTTTATAACGCGCACATCACGTAGATATCCTTCGCACCTGGGTTCTGTCCAGCATCAGCACAATATCCCTGCAAAACACTAGTGATAAGCTATTATCACATGGAGGCGATATGATGTGTCTCTGGAGAGCTCACCAGGCCACTCTAATGTGCCTTATGATTGATGGCGACCGGGTCTAGAGGTACCCTGGTCCGGGGCTGTAGCTGGGGTCAGATATATATCTAGCCGCCTGTCATACCAGCGTCCCTTCCCGAGTTTCAACAGCAGCAATGGCCATGTTGTCATCATCCACAAATGATTTGTCCCCAGACATCAACCAACAAAAGAGATTCCAGCCACAACTTCATAATCCCTCAACAAATGTGTCCGCCCCGCTACCATAACCGTTGGTAGATGAACCCGGATTTCTGGCAGCGCTGCGACGCTCCCCATGACATGAGCTTACGAGATTCGTCCTTCCACCAAAATAAGCTCGAAAGGCCTGAATGGAGCAACTGAGAAGATGGCGGTTGGCATGAGCCAGTTCCCTGGGTCGAGTGACAAGGCCGAGGAACACCGACAGCCTGTCAGCCTGTACCAGCGAGCCGGGACTGCTAGATCGCGATGGATTGGTGTCACCAGTCCGACTCCGATGAGTAAACGTCTCCATTGAGGACGAAGAACGCTATAAAGACCAAGACCACTGCAAAGCCTCGCAGAGAACCAAGCTACTGCTCATCGAAATCTCGACCCTCCCGAGCTTAGCTGTACCCTCATTGAATTCCCCCTTCACTGCTGCATCATCCGACATGCCCGTTCTCCCCAAGCTTGAAGGCTCAACATTCGACGCCGACCTCCGCGATCGGCACATCATCTACGACTACGCGGCCCACGACGGCAACGGCAACCCGGAGAAATGGCGCTACGAGATCTGGTTCTTCAACGAAGACCGGGTGGTCTACGCCATCCACGGCGGCCCGATGGCCGGCCGCAAGAACTTCCAGGCGGCAACGTATCAGTGCATCCGTCCCGGCGAGCTATGGCAGGTCAACTGGTTGGAGGAAACGGGGACGATTTGCTCCTTGGTGTTCGATATCTCGAGCCGACGCTTGAGTACGCTGCTGGGCTTCTCGCAAGGCCACTGGACCCAGAACGAGGCTGCGCATGGCGACAAGCGCAACTTGGAGGATTTTGTCCGCTGGCGCGAGTTGGCGAGGATTGGATCGTCGCAGGCGGACCGAGTGATGTTGAGTGAGCAGGCTGTCATCCTGCAGGATTTCCACGGAGCGGGGGAGCTCGAGCCGATTGATCCGTCCTGGCCAACGCTGTAAGTGGCTGGACGTGGCGCCAAGTGGCTGGATTTATGCATACCTGGTACTGTACACACTAACCTAATGCTGTACGGTATGATCCAAGTACACCCGATAGGTCAACTCTGGTCATGCAATATGATGTACAGTACCGTAGATGATGCTGTGTTCATAAATGCCCAAGCCCGCTTTCGATCCGGACAAGCTTTGGTAAGCCCACCAAGGATCAACTCGCACGTATAAGCAGCAATTCTGATATCTATGAGCCATATCGCCGACCTGCATGTAAGCTCTACGTCCATTGTGACCTGTCATACAACAGAGACATGGCAGAGTCCCGGCACCATATCCGGCGCTGGAATGCACGATCCATGATGATCCTGGACCAACGCCTCGGGGTTTCCGGCTTTCGGCGCCTGCAAACCCCGCCTTTGCCTACTATATAAAGAACATACCAATCGGTCCCTGCTGCAATCAACAGACCATTGCAATCCGTCCTCAGCAAGAATCTACTACTCGATTCGAGCGAAAAAAAAATGTTGTTCATCATCGGTGTTGTACTTGGCTGCTTGCTTGTCGTGGGTGTCCATGCTTTGAAAACGCCCGACCGCAACACTAATAGTAGGGCTATCTACAGCACTTCTTCTATCGAGGACTGACCAGCCCTCTCGCCCATATCCCGGGCCCGCCCTCTTCGCGATGGACCAGTGCGGTCTTCGCCTACTACTGCGTGCGGGGCGAGGTGGCCCAGTATGTCCATAGCCTACACCGCAAATATGGTAATGTACAGCCCGTTGGACCCTGCCAGACGAAGTACGCACCATAACCCCAACTAACTCACCCACTCGCTAGGCCCCGTCGTCCGCGTTACCCCCACGGAAGTCGACATCTGCGATACCAGCGCCGTCAAGCAGATCCACAAAACCGGCAGTGCATTCCTCAAGTCCCAGTGGTACGTCGACCTCACCCCACGAGAGAGACAGAGCACCTTTTCCACCGTCGATCCCAAGTTCCATGCCGCCCACCGGCGACTGCTGTCCTCGCCCATTTCCGATTCGGCCCTGATGACCCAGTTCGAGCCACTCATCCGCGCCAGAGTCGGCCAAGCAATCGATGGACTGGACCAAGATATGGCAGCCACGGGAGCCGGGGATGTGTACAAATGGATGCTATTCATGGCCACGGACATCATCGGGGAGATGTCGTTCGGCGAGTCCTTCCGCATGCTGGACTCAGGCAAGGTGCGTGGTACCCATTCCCCGAACGAACAGGAGCAACGGGCTCATCGACAGCAGAAAAGCCAGTACAGCAATGACCTGGAACGGATCGCATTGACCGGGATCATGCGCACCACGTTTCCGACCATGTTTAAGCTGGCAGCGACTCTGCCGCTGCCCATCTTCCGTGAGACGGTGAAAGCCGTGGACCGTCTGGAATCCTACGCCGTGGCCTCCATCGGCCGCTATTATGGCCTACTGAAACAGAACCCGAAGGACCCCAAGCCCACCCTGTTCACCAAACTGTATGACGCCGGCGAGAACGGCCTCTCCAAGGACGAGATCACCGCGGAGGCACGCACCTTCATTGTGGCCGGTAGTGACACCACGGCCGTGACGCTGACCTACCTGATCTACGCCGTGTGCCAGAATCCGCGGATCCGAGACACGCTGGTCGCCGAGGTCGCGCAGCTCCCGGCGGACTTCACCGATCGGGATCTGCGCAGCCTGGCGTACTTGAATCGGGTCATTCTGGAGTCGCTCCGACTCTACAGCGCGGTGCCGTCGGCGCTGCGTCGTGCCGTGCCGGCTGGCGGGGCCCATCTCGCGGGCTATAGTCTTCCTGCCGGGGTCACGGTGGGCACGCAGTCGTATTCTCTGCATCGCGACGCGAAGATCTTCGCGAACCCGGACGAGTTCGAGCCGGATCGATGGGTGTCGCCCACGCAAGCGATGAAGGATGCTTCGCTGCCATTTGGTGGAGGGTCGCGTGGTAGGTTTAAGATCGTACCTGTTATCTGGGCGAAAAATGAGTGCTAATTCATGAATCAGTCTGTCTGGGAATACATTTGGCCCGAATCGAGCTACGACTGGCCACGGCGATTTTCTTCCGTCGGTTTCCGCAGGCACGCGTGTCGAGTCGCCATGGGATGAGCGAGGCAGATATGGTGATGGAGACCTTCTTCCTGATGGCGCCCAAGGGGCATCGGTGTCTGATCGAGGGGCGAGTTTCGCAGCAGAAGGTTCAGTCTTAGGTGGTCGTTATACTCTGGATGATGATGATCTTCATGATATGGATTCAATAGCACACTGCCGTAGGTTGCAAATGATTGCAGTGAATCATATAACGAGTAGATGTAATATGCCATCGGGTTGTCATCCTATGGGTTTCCCCGCACTCAGCAGCAACCAAGCTTCCCCGCTTCAACCGCACCTCATCAAACAAGTAACACAATAACACAACACATCTCAACGCACCGCTGCACAAACCACATCCATCCACAACCATGTCCAACACACCCAACACCAAGCCCCTTAGCGACCGCGAGGCACTGGCTTTCCGCCAAATCCCTACCATGACCTTCTCCACCGCCACCAACCCTCTAACCGCGCCTCTTCCCCCCGACCCGAGCGCCGCCACGCCATCCCTCCGCGCCGCATCGCGCTTCGCCGTCCCCGGCAGAGCCATCATCACCGGCGGCGCAGGCTCCCTGGGTCTAACCGTTGCGCGGGCTCTACTCGAACACGGCCTGACGGCGCTCGCCCTCCTCGACCTGCCGGCGACGATCACCACCTCGACCGCCGCCCTGACCGAACTCACCACCTCCTTCCCCAACGCACGAATCCACACCTTCCCCGTGGACGTGACTTCCCCCGAAAGCATCACCACCACCATCACCACGGCCGTAACCAGCATGGGCGGCGTCGACCACCTCCTCTGCTTCGCCGGCATCGTCTCCTGCACGCCGTCGACGGGCGCCGCACCCATCGAATTCAGCAAAGTCCTCGACGTCAACCTGACGGGCTCCTTCCTCTGCGCCCAGGCCGCCGCGGCCCACATGATCGCCCAAGGCACGGGGGGCAGCATCGTCTTCACGGCCTCCATCTCCGCCCACGCGACCAACTTCCCGCAGCCGCAGGTGGCGTACAACGTCAGCAAGGCCGGGGTGGTGCACATGACGCGCAACCTGGCGGCGGAGTGGGCTGTCCACGGGATCCGGGTCAATAGTGTCAGTCCCGGGTATATGGACACCGTGCTGAATGCCGGGGACGGACTGCAGCCGTTGCGGGAGATCTGGGCGCAGCGGTGTCCGATGGGTCGGATGGGAGATGTGGAGGAGGTGACCGGGGCGTTTGTCTTGCTGTGTAGTCCGCGGGGTGGGAGGTATATCACCGGGGTGGATTTGGTGGTGGATGGGGGGGCGATGACTTTGTGAGCACCCTAGGTGGAGATAGACATGGTGGGGAGGGGATGGGGAAGGGGAAGGGGAAGGGGAAGGTTAGGGCTAGATTCGGGTTGGTGGTATTTCGATCTTGCCTCCATAGATATAAGATTTGAGGTTGAAGTAGACTCCCACTTGAAAACAGATAGCAGAAGCAGTACTACTCGTGACACGGCTAGTACACATGGCTTGGGTTCGCCACAACACCAGTAAAGTACCAGTGACTAGTGTCTGTGTCCTCATAACGCGAGACAGAATTATGCTTTACTAGACCTAAATACGGTCGGAATTGCACTTGACTTGTTCGTCGAATGCATTGGCGTTTCTGGCTTTGCCACGAAGAGACTGTCCAAGGACTACTTGAAACAAACCGCTGCGACCGAGGAAGAAGTGTATGTATGAGGCACCCTTGCAGACCACTGGGGGCAAGAATGAGATTCCGAGGTCTCACAACCATGAGGGCGATGTGACGCTGATGGACTGACTGACTAGGCCGAAAGGGGCAATTCGGATGAGAGCCCCCCTCTCAGATAACATTCCCCAGACAATAGGGAAAGCCACTTTCCTTCTCACAACTGTGCTACAACATCCATTGATGCGTAGGGCAAGTCATCCCATGAGCCTTATAAGAGACAATCGCATGCAGGAGTCATCTGACACCACGAGCGCATTTAAAAGCGACTCCACGAGCCTATCCACCAGTCCGCACCACCAGCATCTACCCCCATAGCCCTATCTGGATCCAGAGCCCAAACACATACATAACGCACACCCACACTACAAATCCACCATGACTCGCCCCCCCCTCCCAGTCCCACCTCCCATTGATCCCTCCTACACCCCGACCACCAGCATAACCACCCTCCCGGCCACCAGCCCCGTCGAATCCATCCTCGCCGTCCTCGAGCGCGACGGCGGCCTCATCCTCCGCGACCTCGTCACCCCCTCCGAACTACAAGCCATCGCTGCCGAGACCGCGCCGTGGAGCACTCCGCGGCGCCACCTGGACCCCACCGCGCAGGGCGACGCCTTCTACACCATCCCCCCACAGACCACCCTCATTCCAGGCCTAGTGGGCAAATCCGCCACCGCAGCGCGCATCTGCGAGCACCCCGTCCTCGACGCCCTGCGCGAGCGCGTCCTCGTCGATGAGTTCACCGTCACGCGCGAGGGCTTCATCGAGCCCAACCGCATCGACCCCCTACTGAGCATGAGCGCCTCGATGAACATCGGCTACGGGGCACCGCGCCAGCTGCTCCACCGCGACGACAACGTGCACGGGGTGAAGCACCAGGTGCCGCCCGGAGGGGAGTGGTCGCTCCACAATGCCAGCCAGTTCGGGTGTCTCGTGGCCGGATGCGAGGTGACGCGGGCGAAGGGGGCAACCATGTTCGTGCCGGGCAGTCATAAGTGGGGGGATGGCCGGCCGGCCATGCCCGACGAGGTGTGTTTTGCGGGTACGTCTGCCCTTTCCCCGAGCAGATCCTCTGAAATCTTGAAGCGAGAGGGAGTACAGACCCAAGACAAGCTGACTGAATCCGCTATGGTGGTGGAGGTAGAAATGGCCCCCGGCTCCGCCCTGATCTTCCTCGGGTCCGCGTACCACGGCGGCGGTCACAATTCCGTGCCCGACTCGGTGCGGACCATGCACAGCTTCTTCTTCGTCCGGGGCACGTACCGCACCGAGGAGAATCAGTTCCTGGCCATCCCGCGCAGCAAGGTGCTGGGGATGAGTCCGAAGATGTTGCAGCTGCTGGGGTATACGAAGCCGACCACCTCGTTGGGCATTGCGGATAATATCAGTCCGCATGAGGACGTGAAGGGGATCTGGGAGAGGGTGTGTCAGTAGCGTGCCACTTGGAGTTATGTGGGTGTTTGTTTTAATGAACAGCGTGGGTTGGGTGTTGGCGGCAAATGAGAGGATTGAACTACGAACGAGACTATTGTTCCCTCGAACAGAGAGGACTAACTGCTTCAACTACTGATTCAATTCGAGTCAAGTCTATATCAATGGTAGAATCATTACATGCGTTAATCCTATATCCAGAAGCCAAAAGATCTACAAATGAGAGGTGAGAATCCCCCCCGTGACAATCATCTTGATGGTGAGATAGTCGTCCAAGCCGTACTTGCTTCCCTCGCGGCCCATGCCCGAGTGCTTCACACCCCCAAACCTGCAGAACCATTAGCATCAGCACAGTCACAAACAAGCGGAGAACATACGGCGCCGGCGCATCGGAGATCACCCCCGTATTGAGCGCCACCATCCCCGTCTGCAACCCCTCCGAGACGCGGTGAGATCTGGCCAAGTCGGTGGTCATGACATACGCCGCCAGCCCAACCTCAGCCTTGTTGGCCCTCTGAAGCACCTCCTCCTCCGTCCTGAACCTGATCAGCGCCGCCAGCGGGCCGAAGGTCTCCTCCGCCATGATGCGCATCGAGTCATCCACATCGCCCAGGATGGTCAACTCATGGAAGTTCCGCCCCAACGCTGGCAGCGCATTGCCCCCGAGCAGCACGGTGGCCTTCTTCCCCACCGCATCCCGGATATGCTCCGCCGTCTTGCCCCAGCCGTTGGTCAGGGGGCCATGCGTCGCCTGCGCATCCTCCAAGCCATTCCCCACGCGGAACTTGCGCACCTCCTCCACCAACCGCCGCGAGAAACGGTCGTAGATCCCCTCCTGCACGTAGATGCGATTCGCGCAGACGCACGTCTGGCCCGTGACCTTGAACTTACTCGCGATGGCGGCCGTGACCGCGACCTCGACATCGGCATCATCGAACACGATGAACGGGGCATTGCCGCCCAGCTCCAGACTCAACTTCTTGAGCGTGTCGCTACTCTGCCGCATGAGCAGCTTGCCGACACGCGTCGACCCGGTGAACGAGATCTTCTTGACCACCTCGCTCTCGCACAGCGCCAACCCGAGCTGGGGGGTATTCTCCAGCGCGGTGACGACGTTCAACACCCCCTTGGGCACCCCGGCCCGCTCCGCCAGCACGGCCAGCGCATTGGACGCGAACGGGGTGAGCCCATCCGACTTGAGCACCACGGTACACCCGGCCGCCAGCGCGGCGGCGATCTTGCGCGCCCCCATAGCCAAGGGAAAGTTCCAGGGCACGATGAGCCCGCACACGCCGACGGGCTCCTTGAGCACCTGCACGCGGCTGGCCGGGTGGCTGTGCGGGATCACGTCGCCGTAGATGCGCGCGGCCTCCTCGCCGAACCACTCGAAGAAGCTCGCCGCGAAGAGCACCTCGCCCTCCGCGTCGCCCCGGACCTTGCCGTTCTCCGCCGTGATGATCCGTCCGATGTCCCGCTGGTTCGCGACGAGTAAGTCGTACAGCTTGCGCAGGATGCGGCCGCGCTGGCGGCCCGATTGGCTGCGCCAGGCGGGGAAGGCGGCGGCCGCGGCGGCGATGGCGGTCTGGATGTCTTCGACGGTGGATTCGGGGCAGCTGCCTAGGGTGGTCTCGTCGGCGGGGTTGGTGACGGGGAAGGTTTGGCCGGATTGGCTGGGGACCCAGGCGCCGTTGATGTAGCATTTGTCGACGAAAAGGGTCGGGTCGTGGAGGGTGCAGGCGAAGGTCGATGTCATTTTGGTGGTGGTGCTGGTGGGGTTTGTTGTTTGTTGTGGGAATGGGGTTGATTGTGGTACAGGGAAGGGGGAAGCTGGCTTATATGAGGGAGGACTGTAGTAGAGGAGTGTACAGCTGGGTATAAGACTGAGGGTATCTGCAATTGGCCTTCCTAGTCGAGTCAAAAGAATGAGATACCCTCGGCTGGCGCTGCTCGGCTTTCCCTCCCGATCCCCGACTTCGGCAGGCCTCGGATACAGTTGCCTGTTCGGGTGTGTTTGGAGAGAGCCAGGCCCTACCTTACCCTCTGCCGCCGCCTCTACGGTGAATGGTGTGATGTGTAGGTTTGATGGTGAACTGAGCTTAATTCGCTACTTAACTACTCTACAAGTACAGTCCCCCTGAGTTCCTACGTGACAAAAACCTGCAATTGAGGCAGTTCCGCCGCCCAATTCCTCTCCGCACCCCCCTCCCACACCTGCTGCAGCAGCTCCATCGCTCGAATGATGTTCGCAAACCCATTGCGCCGGAACTGGCGCTCCAGAAACCCCCGGAAGAAGCGCTGGTCCTCCGGACGCCGACATTCCAACCCGATGATGAACGCCGACCACACCAGCACGTGGTCCATCTGCGACACTTCGGGATACAGCACCAGCAGTTGCTTGAACTGGTCGACCAGGTTCGAGAGCGCGCGCGGCGGACTCGCCGTCCGGGCCAGCGCCCGCTGGAGGTAGATATCGTACGCCTGCTGCCGGACCTCGGCGATGCGGTCCAGGGCCAGCGCGTGGCGCGGGTGCAAGGTGCGGTAGTAGCGGAGGCAGTCGAAGCTCTGCGCCCCGTGCGACAGGATCGCGCAGATGCCGGAGTCGAGGCTAATCAGCGGGCTTGCATTGACGCGCATTCTATTTTAGATTCGTATAAGTATCTTATCTTGCACCCCATGACGGGGTGTGTGTGTCTGGGCTACGACTCACTTGCGGATCTCCCGCAGGAGAAAAGCAGACACCTCGCCCCCGTCAAGCCCCCCATCGCCGCCGACCGCGTCGATCGCCGATTGCAGCATCCGGAACAAGATCGGAAAGTCCGAGCCGCCCGTGACCATCACGGCCAGCAGGAGGATGAGGATGGTCAGGATGACGGATTTCCTGGTCGCCATGTCGCAGGCGCCCAGGTCGCTGCGGCGCTGCAGCCCCCGGATGACTTGCGTGTAGAGCCTGCGGGGGTCGGCACAGCCGGGACTGCTGCCGACCGTGCCCAGGAGGTGGAGGGAGGCGACGGCCAGGACGGAGTTGAGGACCAGCTCGTCGGTGTGGGCGATGGGGAGGATGGTGCCGCGCCAGCCATTGTGCTGGTCGTCGATGACCACCATCTGCGGGGCGATCTGTTCGGAGACTTCGACCGTCAGTGGTTGAATGTCCATGTTTAGGTTCGACAGGTGTTTACAATATGTGAGGAGGTATGACTTCCAAGCTTCAAGCCCGGCTAACGGGGGCTTGACGATGGAGAGCGAGTCAAAGGGGGAGACGACGGGTTCTGGTGATCGATCGCTGTCTGAGGTCTGGGGCGATGGCAAGAACAGGGCCGGGAGCTCGTCAGGAGACGATGGGGTGTTTGTGCACTCGTTGGGAAACAGGATATTGAGGATCTCCTCTGGTGTCTCGAAGAGACAGTCTGATCCGGTTCTGCCCTTACTACAACTCGACCTCCTGTCTCGTCAGCATCCATCGGTGTGCGCTGGAATGGCTGCCCACATACGGGGGTAGGGTATGTTTTCGGGGTCCTCGTCTTTTGCTTGCATCACGAAACCTAAACCGCATTCCTAGACCGCTACAGCTGATGCCCTTGGCAGTACACTTCCCACAGGCAGGTTCTTTCCTATCGCAGTGGATGCGGCGCTGGGAACACTCGTAGCATCCTGTCTGATCATCAGCCTCGGCCACTGCACGCTGATGACGAAGCGTACCTTTGATCTTGGGGACATAGGGTCTGTTTCGTAGAGGCATGATGCTGATTCTCTCGCACTGTCAGACAGAGTATACAGAAGGAAATGACATGTGAGATGCAATAGAGGAGCAACAGTGCCCAGTGCAGTGACTGCGATAACATAACCTGCCCGATCCAGCGGGCCATCCTTATCTTCCCCGCATTGGCTCTTATCGGGCGCTAGTCTCAAGACGGCAAGAAAAATGAGAGCCGAGAGGCGAACGATGATTGGCCTCGGCTCGTCGGCTGTCCGGCTACTCCATCCGATCGCTATGCACCCTGGCATACTCACTGACTGGCATACTCATACAATGGCTGAAGTAGATATGATATCATCACTGATAACTTAGCTCGATTGATTGCTGACTCGGGTGTGGGTCATGCACCCTGAGGTGGCTGGCTACGTCATCGCAAAAGGGCTGCTCTGCCCGGTAAAGCAGACACCTACATCCACACACCCACACGGTGCTCCAAAGGTACTGTCGAAGACGACTCTGTATGCCACCGAGAGTCGCTGAATGTAGTACAGCTAGTAGGAGGGTGATTGAGCACAAGCAGTGCGAATATTAGACTGGGTCTCAGATGCATAGGAAGCCTTCGTATCTATAAAAGTCGGGTACTATTCACAAGCAGCTGATCCGTGTGCTCCTCCAATGGTATGAAACCAAGACACGATTCATAATTTGTTAAGGGAGAGTATCCTAGTCACTACTAGCGTCAGGACTGCGGTGAAAATACAGATCCTAGGCTTTGGTGGAAATGCAGTGCCCAGACATCACCAACAAACAGCCCGAGAACGCAGGGCGCACAGGCTGCAAGACGCTCCCAGGCCGAGTTGAGCAGAGTTGACAGACTCACACATGAGACGAGGGTCCATTCCACCCTCTGAGCATCTACTCATAGGTGATACAGATCTTCTCATTGCTCACATCCATCGCATCGGCCACTGTGATGTTCTCCGCGAGTCCCGCCAGCCAGAGCGTATGGTTCACCGTGGTCACGTTCCCGTGATCCCCGAAATAGGGCACGAAGGCGCTGACCCCCAGGAAGGAGGGCTGCGCTTCTCCGAACAGGGTCTGCGTCGCCACCAGCGGCCCACCCATGGCCGTCAACCGACTGGCGTTCTTCGACTGCCACTGCGTCCAGAGGCGGTCCAGGTTCGTGTGGTGCAGGAAGAAGATCGGGTCAAAGGCAGAGAAGGAGACGTGTTCCATCTGAGCGGAGCACATCGACGTTAGCCAGGGAATTACATAGCTGCTTCTCTTCTCCCGAAGAGGATGACTTACCGTGCCACCGACACCGAAATGACCGCCCGTATGCGGCGTGTTTCCGAGACACGCCCACATGGACCAGTAGTCGTCGATGTCCATGCAACTGTCGACGATGGTCTGTGAGACGGAGTCGAAATGCGTCTGGTTGAACACCCGTTTCAGGCAGCTGTCGCTGGTGCGCGTGAGCTCGGTCGTCAGGTTGAGCGGTAGATACGCAAAAGGTCCGTCCTGGACGCAGCCGTCCGCATCGGTGTTGCCGGTGCCGAAGCCGGCAGTCGGGCTCGTGCTCCAGACACTGGCATTCTCCAAAGGTGCCCTCGCTTGGTCCTCTTGTTCATCCCAGTACCTATGAAGGGGTAAGTCACAATGCGGTGCAGTACCGAGGTCACGGTCGGGCGTCGAGGGGGAGGTTGAGTGCAGGTACTCACGGATAGGGGCCTGTGTAGCCGCACTCGTCCCGGAGGAGGTTCTCATGCACTCTGGTGTACCAACGGTGCCAGGGAAAGAAGGCGCCCTGATTGGAGGGAATGGGTTAGACGTCAATTGACTCCCTACGGCGATTGAGAAGCGCGAGGGCGCTGGGTGGGAGAGGGCGAGACGCACCACGACGTGGATGAACTGGACTTGGGCGACGTGCGCCACAAGCAGCTCGTCCCAGCGACTTTTGGAACCATATGTCCCGGTCTTGGCGGGGGCGAGTACCGGGTTCATGAGGCAGAGGGTCGAGTTGATATACTCGGCGCGCTCGTCGAGGGTCAGAGCGGACCTGGGGGGGGTGAGAATAGGTTTGCTGCGACTAGAAACGGGAGTTCGAACCAGGACTTTCGCACGCTTGGACTCTCACATGTGGCTCTGGTAGTAGTTGCCAGAGGCAGAGCAGTGACTGCGGTGGCGATGAATCCCTTCATTGTGCAATGGGCGTTATTGTGGCTTGTATGGACTGAAGAGTAGAACACAATGGCCTTGATATTTGTGAAAGATTTTGATGTTGTGTCGGGGCACTTATAGACCAAAGGAAGGAGAAAAGCACAATGTCCCTCTGGTGTCGAGCTGCACTTATCTCAATGCATAGGAAAACCCGACTCGGATTGCAATCTCTGTTATTGCCAAGGATCTTTTACGTACGCAACGCCATGCATATTTGTTCAAAAGCTCTTGTTTAGTTTTCAGTAGGGTGCCGCCCCACGGCGTTCTATCTCGGATTGTTGACCCACTACAATTTCCACGCGTCTAGAGGCCCGGTTCTGCTTCCAAAAGCGTACAGTGGAAGCCCAGCTCCGGGGGTTAAGCGACGGCATGGCCCCCCTTCTTTAGCTCCACGTCTTTGGTGCCGACGTTGCTGGAGAAGAGGGTTGATCCAGGGTGTCAGAGGAGGAATGACGACCACTTCTCTCTGGGCAGAGACGGTGTGATTAAGAAATCTGAGAATTTATGAGATTGCAGCAAGTGGGAGCTCGACCTGGGACTCCGTTGTGATAGATCCCATGATCCCATTCCTTGTAAAGTACCTCACAAATTCAAGATGTAGGGCTAACGTACATTAGCATTACGAGACGGAGGAATCAAATAACTCAATTATCAGATAATTATTTAATCGAAAAATCAGATAAAGGCCAGAACATATAGGGCCCGTGTTGTACAGCCCCACTCAGGCGGTTTGACAAGGCAATGAATCTCGCCTTCGGCCGAGGGCAAAGAACATTACCGTCGAGATGGGTTTCTGCAGCCGTTCTATCGCTGTGGCTTGGAGAGGTTTGAATTAGAATTCAGAGTGAAATGTTCTTGCCTCCATAACATGCATGTTATGTCAACGAATTTCAGATTACCGCGAGTGCTCACTATAGCAATCTCCAGTTTGAAGGGCTTCTCGTTCTGAAGAATCCTTGAGAGTGGATCTTTCTGTCAACCTTCTTTACAAATCTTTCGTCGAGAAAATTTAGGATTCGCGTTTGAAATGTGGAGCCTTGAACGCAAAAAAGAAAGAGAGAAAGAAAGAAAGCAAAAAATAAAAACAAAAACAAAAATAAAAAAAACCAGACAGTGTGGAGTAGACAGACGGTGAGAGAGAGGATCAATATACCGAAGTTGTATAGTATGCTGGGTACAGCGGAGAGTATCCGAGAATCATCAGTGATCGACGGTCATTCTACAGTAAAGGTTTCTAGGGTCCCTGTGGGGCGAGGGAAGCTGTACAGTCATGTGTGAGCCCCTCTAAACTTCCTTACGATTTTCCTCCCGTCTTCCAAAAGTCTTCATCGCGCAGCTCGTTATATGTCAAGGTTCCTAGGACTCTTTCTCAACTAGGGTGGAAAAGCGTGCCACCTAGCGGGGATTTCTTTACTAGGGCCAATGCCCTATAATAGTATGCTGTTCGATCTGCCTACAGAGCAACGGGCAATGTCCGGTAGGGTTAATACTTAATTTCTGATACTTCTCCGAGTGGTGCGAAGGACAGATATTTGAAACCACTAAGCCTTTGTGAGTCTAGCCGGGGTGGATTTCTGGTTTTAATTTTTCACAGTAAAAGTGATTCTTCACAAGTCCCACTGAACTGTAAGTTAAGGGCCATTAGATTTCTCGCCTCATCTCTCGGCATAGTAGCTAAACACTTGAGACATCCGGCCATAGTCCATGTGGCAAAAAGACTGTAGCAAATTCTGATCTGACCCCTGGAACAGTCCGGCATTGCACAGAGTGGTTGTAGGTCAGCTGCCAGCATAACCGACAAAAAGAAGGAAAAAGAACAAAACAAAACAAAAAAAAGGGCCAGATAACCTCGCTTCTGTACAGTACAGTACATAATATCTAATGTCCCTAGCTAGTACCTCAAGGGCAGTAGGCATCGAAGTGAGTGGTAGGATGCTGAAAGATGACCGGACCACCACCGACGGAGATTGACTTCCCATCCTGCTGCAGCCCACCCCCGGGAATATAAATCCGGCCACCCATGCCGATAGCCTGGGTTCCATGGCGTGGGACGGGCATGGGCGCCATTTCGGTCCACTGCACCGATAGGGGACTATACCTCTCCGTCTGATTGAACACTCCCGTGGCAGCATCGACATTGCCTTCCCCACCGAATGCGTAGAAGTTGCCCCCAACAGCACCGCCCGACAAACCGCCGCGCGAAACCGGCATCCGAGCTGCGCTGACCTTCCAACCAGCTGCCAGGTCTGTCAGGTTCAGCTCAAACACGGTGTCCTTGTGGTAGAGCTGTCCGTACCGTCGGCCACCCACCACATAGAAGGAATCCCCAATGACCGCACCGGCCGCATGTTGGCGGCTTTCCGGGAGCTCGGCTGCAGCGGCCTCGAGTCGCTGCCAGGCTCCCGAGGTGGTGTTGAAGGCAACGACACTCGTGACCGCATCCTGGTACCCTGTCTGGAGCACCGTCATTCCACCAGCCAGGTAGATCATCCCCTCATGCACCCCAACCACCGCGCTGCCCTTCTCGGTGCCGCTCGGCATCGGAGCAATTTCACTCCAGGCATCCACGGCAGGATCATACACATAGCAGGCTCGAGTGGCTACCCAGTTCATGGTCAGGCCCGACGAGAGAGGAGCCTCGACCAAGCCGCCGAGCAAATACAATCTGCCGCCCACCCCAGCCGCATTTGCGTGGTTGACCTTGTGCGGTGCGGGCGCGGCAGTGTGCCAGGTGTCCGTGGTAACATCGTAGAGTTGCACCAGATCGGTCGTCGCCGTGCTGTTCGCCGTCGGAACGAGACCGCCGACAATGGCGATGATGGAGTCTCCTATCGCGGCGGTGGCGTGCTCTTGACGCGGCTGGGGGATTGAGGTGAGGTTTACCCACTGCCCGGGGCCGCACGAAGGCGCGGCGGTGGCGACGCCAAGCAGTCCGAGGACCATCAATCCCAGAGCGGAGCGGGAACACGGCATGGTACAGTATTGTATGAATGGCTGAACGAGAGAAGATTGGGAAGTAGGGATGAAGAGGTGCTTGGTTGGGAGTCTTTGGGAGGAGGAGGTGGGTTGTATCCAGGACCTTAAATAATCCACAGATCTCGGGCGGTGGGTGATGGATAGATATGAGCTCAACAGGATGATCCCCTGATCCCTCTCATCGGATCCTCCTATCTCTTTTCTATTCGGTTTGTGGTTGCTTCATCGCTTCGGTAAGCAGTGAGCGGTCACTGCATCTGATAGATCATGCTGCGGAAATACCAATATTACCTCCTTCTACCGCAGATCTGCAAGTCCTAGTTCCATGCCCCTGGGCTGTGTACATTGCAAGTAATCTAGGGTAGATTTAGGAAGCCAGGACTGAATTCCAAGTTCCTGAAACCAGGTAGTGCCAACATCATGCCCATGCAGTGAATCATGGATTGTACTAGGCCTTGTCATGTGACGGAGTGTCCGGCCTCTCATTGGCTGGGCATATCACCGCCCCGGCCACCGAGTTTAGTTAGTCTTCCGATAAGCTAGCCTGCCTCGAATCTCAGATTCTTCACGCTTCCCATCACCATGTAGTTCAAGGTGAAGGAACAATCACCTGTGTTAGACATGGCACTAAGAAAATAAAACGATCATGTCACCACACACATGATCGCCTCTGAAGGGTACGATTAAATCCTTGACTCGTCCGAATGGGGAGACGAGCACGACGGGGCGCCAGGCCTTGAATTCGTAGTCTGCCCTTTCTACACTAAATGGATGGCCTCCAGTTGTGTAACAGATACTATAGTCAGGGTCCAATGCCATCCAGGGCTGCATGTCTCCACCTTTTCAAGGGTCCTTGGCATACACTGAGATGATCAGTGATCAAGCGCGGACATACAGGTGGCCGGCGATATTTCTACATGCAGTTTTTGGGTGGGGGAGAGAGACCCACCCTTGTTATCTGATAAGATTGATTCCTTTCAGAATGGGTACGTGGTACGTAGTCCAGGTGGGTACAGTACTCTTTACAGGGTCCATGTGCCTGAGTAATGGAAAAGAGCATGAGATCCAGTTCGCCAAGACCTGACTCGCACATCACGAACCTGGCATCCATAAAAGCCGAAGCTCTGAATAATACCAAAGGGCTTGGAGTGTAAAGTGATTAAATGTACTTGACTAGGGAGTACGTCACATCTCTGCTCATTGGATAACGAAAGGCCACACTGGACCCAACTATTGCCTTGCGCTAGAAATGGGGTCGGCAAGTCCGCCGTCCAGCACGCCGTTGATCTTGAATTTACATGGGCTGAGATAGTGGGCTGATCACGGAAGAGAGACTTATGTTCTCCCATGCAAAATATACCGAGGATCAAGCAAGCTACGAGCTATAAGACTCCTGCCTCAACCCCAGAAGCAAGGTTTTCACTCAGTCAACTCACTCACACCTGACACAGTTCCCTATACCTAGGAAGTCTCTCTCCTGAGATGCCCTTCTCTCTGCTGAGTCCCCCCCAGATATCCCGCCTAGTAGGTAGTAATTCAATCTCGCTGGAGACGGCCTGTTTGAGATCTTCGCTGACTGCACTTCAAAAGAACCTCTAACGCGTAACGAGTGCGGTCATGTGGTTGGGTTTCCGAGAGAAGAGATGATCCTTGATCCTGCCCTTGGTGTTCCTTCTTGTACGCGGTTTTGAAGTCAGGATGACCGCGATGAGTATTTTGAGAGAAACTGCCCGAGATAGATTGGTATAGGACTGAATATCTTCCCAAAACTACAATATTGCGTATGAGGTGAACAGGCAAAAATCTACCCCTTCGCAAACTCAAGTCCAGTATGGCCGTGGGTAAGGTTTTACGATAGGCTCTTATTATGGCTTGGTTAACAGTGACAAGTCAATAATAGATGCAGCGAATAGTCAATAGTGGTACTGTAACAGTAACAGTGAGCTGAGAATGTTTGTCAAGGCTGGAGGACAAAGCCGCAGGTAACGCGGAGGGACCGATATGAACTTAACTGACAGCCCCTTTATAACCGTCAAGCATGTCTTAACATAGACTTGTATACATTTTCACCCAACTTCCACATTTCTCAACAACCTATATACAAACAGAACCCCCACCGCTCAAACCCCCTCCGCAAAACGTCTTCTAGTGTCACCTAAAGGACCAAAGTCCCTCACAGACACCCCTTTCCCCCACACCTACCTGCCCACCCCCCCTCCAGCCACCGTCTCTTCATGCTCTGAATAAGCATCCTTCTCCAAATCCTTCCCCCCTGCCTCCTCCCGCAGTCCCGCCAACTCCTGCTGCACGGGAACGGGCTCAAACCCGACCTTGTACCAGGGCAGCGCCATCAACGCCCCCGTACTCTCCATACTGCGACCCTTGCACTCCGGGAAGGCGAAGAAGACCCAGATGGTACCGCAAAAGGTGCAGGCAGCGAACAGCGCGAACGGACCCCACGGGTGCATGGCGACGGTCATATTCGGGAAACCGCGAGTGATGCCGAAGTTCAATAGGTTCTGGTAGGTAAATGCCAGAGTAATGACGGTACCGCGCATGCTGGTCGGGCAGATCTCTGAGGCAGTCAGGGAGAACGCGGGGGCCCAGCCAAAGCCGTAGCCGACGGCGAAGACACACAGGGCGACGACGGCGATGATGGCTGCTGCGCTGGGGCTGCTGTCTGTGGCCGAGAGGTCGGCTTTGCCCAGGTAGGCGGCGATGTAGATCAGGCAGACGAGGTTGATGGTGGAGCCGGCGAGGAGGAGGGGCCGGCGGCCGAAGCGCTCGGTGAGGAAGAAGGCGTATAGAAATACAGACAGGAACTTGATGGTGCCATACACTGCGGTGAAGAGGAGGACTTTCGAGGAGTTGAAGCCAATCGAGGCCAGGATAGTCGGGGCGTAGTAGGTGATGCTGTTTCCGCCGGACATGATGAAGAAGGTCTGAACAAAGAGGACCAGCACCAGGACCTTGCGGAAGGTCGGGTCGGAGGCGAACTGCCGGCAGGACTGCTGGATGGACTTCCAGGGTGACTGGCCGGTGGTGGGAGCGTCCTCGCTGTGGTCGACTTTGTTGCGTAGCTCGGCGTACTCGCGGGCGAAATAGGGGTCGCGCTCGTCGAGTCCGCCACGCAGGCGGACGAGGTTGCGGCGTGCGGCGGCGACCTGGCCGCGCATCATGAGGAACCGGGGGCTTTCGGGACAGAAGGGGTAGCCCGCCAACAGGATGGTCGATGGGATGAGCTGCAGGATCATTGGGATGCGCCATTGCCATTCAGATCCCGCGGGGATGACCATCGTTACGGCGTAGTTGATCCAATAGGCCCCGGCCACGCCGGACATAATCCCTGCGTTGTAGAAGGTGGACATCATGCCACGGAGCTCAGTGGGCGCCACTTCGGAGATGTACACGGGGCCTGCTGAGTAGGCAATCCCGGACCCCAGGCCAGAGATGGTGCGGCCTACCATGAGTTCGGCCAGAGAACCGAAGTTGACCGCCATGAGCAGCGCACCGATGGTGTATGTGATCGCAGCCAACAAAATCACCGGTTTGCGGCCACGACGTTCCATGATTGGACCGGAGAGGAGGATGCCTGCGGTTTGGCCCTGTAAATAGGTCAGTTGATCAGGGAGATGCCCCTGGGCTCTCTATGTGCTCTATTGGGAGATGGAAAGGACACGAAGGCCACTCGAGGCGACTCACCAGCAGCATTGAGGAGGTGACCCAGCCCTTGTAGTTGGTGACTGTCCCCGAAGAAAGCGAGTCCCAGCCGTACTCATGCTTGAAGCTACTCATTCCCATCACGCCGGAGATGTTGGAAGAGTTGAAGCCGTGAAGGCTACCACAGTAGGAGGCCCAAATGGCAACCAGCCAGATGAATGCTGCTCGGGCTGGTTTGGGAACTTGTTTTAGGGCATCCTTGGAGATGCCTCCACCGGTGGCGCCCATGGAAACACAGATAAGTAAGATGATGAAAAGCAGGAGATGATAGACGATGAGGCTGGGGAGAATGAATTCAGGTTCAGAGAAATTGTTGTTCTGATAGAGAAGATCATTCGCGTCCTGCCAGGCTATAAGTGATGGCAGGGAGGACTAGAGGACTACCCCAGACCTCCAGTCTTGGCAATCTCACCATACACGTGAATGCTCACCGAAATCCCCACACCCAGCTGTGTGTGAAAACTGGGGAAATAGGACATAGGAGCTCTCCGAGCGGGCATTTCGTGACCTGGAGCATTCCGGGGTAGGGATTCTGGGCGCGGCTGGTAAGGACTGGTCAGAATTGAACGGAACCTGCTGATTCGCCACCACATATTCTTGAGCTAATTCTCTTGTGGAGTATTTCAGCCAATCGATGTCGGATGCAAAAGCTTGGATTCAATACAGCCTTTCTAATTCGAGGGTGCGGTAAGCGAGCAGGCTATTGTTCGTGTGGACTGAATGGGCCCATGGTATGATCCGTTATGGTTGTTGTTGATATCTGCATCGATCATGCAACTCAAAATCGCACTCGCTGATACTTCTGAGTTGAGTCCTCAACAGTAGTGAACTTCGACGTTGACTATATTTTCCATGGTAGCCTCACGCTGGCTGGATACATTGTTAGGTGATAGTAAATAAGCAAGAAGCCTTTATATAAAAAGGTTCAGCGCAGATTGATATTTGTATCATCTCTGAATCGTAATGGTCGAATGCATAAGCCGTGTACTGTCCACAATCAAATCTGCCATTCCAGTGGCACCACCCGACTTCGAAGGGGAGGGGGGGTGTGCAAGAATGTGCTGCACCAGCTTCACGGTCCATCCCGTATGTATCTGCTCAGCATTAAAGCGGTCAAGTAATTTGCCTCTCGGTGTTGCGCACGCTACGTTATCAATGGCCCAAAGCTCAGACACCTTCCACCGCGAAGTTCATGGGCACCAAGTCCTAGGAGAAATAATACTCATTGAATACCGGATTGACCGGGAGTAAGGATAGACACCCCAATTGCCCCATCCACGGCGAACAAGGCATATGCCGGCAGCCGATACTGTCGCATTCTAGACTTCAAGACCATCCCCATCGATGATGGATGGATCCTTGGCACTGGCTCGTAGATTTCAATCAAGTGTTAAGGCTTGTTGAACTCGGAGTCACCGAGTCTCGCACCATAATGCACAGTGTAATGATGAACATGTACTGTTCTTCTATTCTACTGTTCTACTGTTCTACTGTTCTACTGTTCTACTATCTCTCGGATCAACCCCGCAGTACACGGGGGAGGGAATCATCCTCTCATGTCGCTGTCGCCCATGACACCTTTTTTAGGTTCATTAGAAAGTAGAAAGAAAAGACCAGACATCATCCGAGTACTTCTATCTCCCTCACAGTACACTAGTAATTAGATCGTTCTGTGTTTAATGCTATTATTCAGAGTCAAAACGACTGCGCGAGGCAGGGTTAGGTAAAGAGATGTGCTGTACTGTAATTTTGATACAGACCCCGGAGTGCTCCGCATGATACTACCACCTCTTCCTGGTAAATTACTGGTATTGGAGCTCCACTTCCAGTACGAGTTGTAAGTTTCCCGATAGTTCTTTCGAGGCTGACAAGATGAGTCTGTATTGCCCTAAGCCCTCAGCATCATGACCTCTATAGTCAAAGCAGTTTCTACTTCAGTTTCAGATTACTTGGTTCCTTGCTGGCTGGACCTCCACGCTCTTCCACTTAACCGTTTGCTCGATGACCTTTTCATAGATGGTGAAACTCACCGCACCGGAGATCTGTCTGCGTTACTACCACACTCGACAACCACATGGTAACCGGGGAAAGAACCTACACTCAACCGAGCCAGACGAGGCGTCGTCCCCCGCCACAGCGAGGTGATGCCCTCCTGACGGATGACCGACTGCACGCAGTCGAGCGTCCCCTTGTAGCGTTCCAACCCCCCAATCGCCTGCAAGCGCGTCTTGATCGCATCGAACGGCATCGTCATGTACACCGTCACCACGCCGGCCAACGCCCCCGCCCCAGCCGTGCTCAGCGACGAGGGCAGCTGCCAGGCGCGGAACTGGCCCAGCAGGAAATTGTAGCTGGTGAACCGCACCATCGCGTTCGCCGACTGCTTCATCGTCACGGGGACGACGCCGCGATAGAGCCCCGCGACGCCCTCGGTCGCCGCGATGGTGCGGATGGCATGGATGGCCGATCGGTATTGCTTCGCTCCAGCGCGGTCGTCGATGATCTTGGTCTTGAGGGTCTCGCCCGGCGTGACGACGGCGACACTCTCGGCAACTCCAGCGATCATGCCGGCGCCGAGATTGCCGAAAGAGCTCACCTTGCCCTGCGCGTCGACGGGCATATACTTGCGCGCGGTGTCGAAGGCGAAGAATCGCACGCCGGACTTGGAGGCGTTCGAGACGCAGAAGGCCATGCTGCCGGTGTAGAGGTGGCCGAGGCCATGCTGGCGGATGGTGCTGAGCAGCAGGTGCAGCGGGTTGGTCTTTTTGGTCTGTAGTTGTTGGCTGGTCTTGAGGTACTCTGTTGGATACTATTGAGGTTCACGTAAACCGTGGTCAGTGAATGTGGGTGTAGGGTTGGGATTGTGGTTGGGTGTATGGATGCATACCGTGAGAAGACTTTCAAACCCGCCGGCCGCACCCCCTGCCACTATCGACTGCCACGGGCTCACTTGTTTCTTTGAAGTCATTTTGTACGCTTGAGTCTGTTGTAGCGCCTTGCTCCAGTATTCCATCTGTGTATATCTATATCTTGTGCCGCCGACTCGACGATGCCGATCGCGGAGCCACCCGAGGTGGAGCACTCCGATACTGCTCTTCTCACCCATTATCACCGCAACCGCACTGCTTATCAATAGTGTCCAAGTAGACAAACAGAGTTCCCTTCTTACCTGACATAGATGTCTATTCATTCTACCTTCGTGAACAGCTCCAACCTCGCCTCAACATGACCATTCCCGACCTCTTCCCGCATGGCTGCTGGGACACGCACCACCACATCTTCGACCGTAAGCCACTGCCCCCTTAACCCCAAACCCACAGAATTCCACTGAATATAGAGCAACAACAGCCTCGCAATACCCATACGCCCCGAACCGCCACCTGACCCCCTACCCCGCGACCATCGCCGACTTCCTCGCCTTCAAGCGACGCCTGGGGATCACCCACTCCGTGCTCACCCATGGCCTCTCCTACGGCGACGACTGCACCTCGCTGACGGGCTTCACGGCGGAGCTCAACAAAGCCAGCGACCAGACCACCACCAAAGCAATCGCGGTCATCGACCCAGCAACCATCACCACCGACGAGCTGCAGCGCATGCACGACGCCGGCGTGCGGGGCATCCGCGTAAACCTATACAAGTACGAGGCGTTCCACAGCCTCGAGCGCCAGAAGGTGGCGCTGCAGGCGCACGCGCAGGCGCTGGACGCCCACGGCCAGCCGCACTGGATCATGGCGTTCACGCACCCGCACACGGAGTTCTGGCCGGAGCTGAGCGCCTGGCTGGCCGAGGGACATCTGCCAGACACGATCCGGCTGGTCACGGATCATTTTGGCCTGCTGAAGTGCGCGAGCATGCTGCCGGCGCAGCACGAGGGGGATATCACCCGGCAACCCGGGTTCCAGGCGATCATGGAGCTGGTGCGGCAGGGCCGGTTGTTTGTCAAGCTGAGTGCGCCGTACCGGGTGAGTAGTCTGGGTGGCGGGTATGAGGATGTGGAGCCGTTGGTGAGGGCGTATTTCGAGGCGAATCCGCGGCAGTTGGTCTGGGGGAGTGATTGGTATGTACTTCTACCCTTGTTCGGGGACGGAGAATCTTGAGTTATGGTGATTGTTGGGTGGAAGAGATGGAGCTGATGGTCAATAGGCCCCATACGCCCCATATGAAGGTTCGTACGCCCGAGGAAGCCCTCAAGCCGACGCCGTATCTGGAGGTGGATGACTTGGCGTGGTTGCAAAGTCTGCGGTCGTGGTTGTCGGAGGAGGAGTGGCACTTGCTGATGGTGGAGAATCCACGGAGGTTGTTTGATTGGTGAGAGTGAGGCTGTCCCTGGGTTTGACGGGTGAAAGCCTCCGTGGGGATTTTCCAATGTATATATGACTATCCAGCATTCAGATACAATCTACAGCAAGTCCCTACGCAGCATTGCCGAGTTTTTACTTTGTAAAAGCCCTCAGATGGCTCTATCGAACTGTACATAGCAGATGCCGTGACATGAGAAGACCTAGACTATCATAGCTCATGGCGAAACAAGCTTTGCATATGTCTCTTGTACAAATTGTGCTTATGCTTTAAAGCTGCTGCAGAAGATGGCCACGAGGCAATCCCGAGACTCCGAGCCGCCGAGTGCCGAGACCCGGCCGAGACAGCCGTTGGAACAATCCCGAATGATGGAATGCCGATAGAAGCTGAGGAGAAAACAGTGGCTAATGCTTGCACTGCTCCCTATCTAAACTACCACGCAAACTAGCCCTGCACTCATCACATGCGGGACGATACCATGTCTGCAGATATTCACACTCTGTCTGTCAAAGACTCCACCAGACCCGCCCTATGCCGATCCTCCCGAGCATACCATCAGCTCTATCCCTAATTGACTCCCATTTGAAGCTACCTTATCCTTCTAGAATCCAGTCCGAACCCCCGAGCGTCCGCAACCCGACCCGCCAACCTGTTTCAACAATGGGGCAATGAGCCTTCTGGAATCGCGTGTTGTCGGAGCTCACAGTGGCAGATTGGATCCAGCCTGTTATATAAGGAACGACGCGCCTCGAGTCCACGGCTTTCTCATCATCACAACCCATCTCACTACCACTTGCATCACCATCTCTAAGATCAACGACAATACACTGCCACCTCACGAACACACAACAATGGCCTCCCAATTCTCTGTGGACCATTCCTTCCGCGCCTTCGTCGAGGCCCTCAAGGCCGACGGCGATCTGGTC